TTTCCCTTTCATCGGTGAAACGATGCTGTAGGAAAACGTGGAAACCCTGAAAATGTCGCGCCGCTAGAATGTTTATCGTCTTATCGAGTTTGGAATGCTGTGGCTCTCCAATTATCGTTCGAGTCGGCAAGGAACAATGGGGCAGTTCGTTCGATAGACTCGTTCCATCGAGATCTGGGTCACGAACGAGCAAGTTTATCGACGAAAATTCTATCGTCGTGCAAATATTTCCCCTGCAAAGAATACCCGATCGTCCGGTTAATCGCGATCGCTAAGATTTCTGTGCGCGTTCGAACTGTAGAATTCGAGACCCGTAAACAGGAAAGCGTGATTCCGGCGCCGTTTAATAGGTTACGTGGAAACGCGTGTTCGAGAGTCGATTCCCCGCGATCGCGATCGTGGTTCTCTCGATCAACGAATAACCGTACCAGTAAAGTCAGTAGAGAATCTACGATTCCGTTTAGGTGATCGAGTATACATATATACGATACGTAATGCGTTAAAGATGCCAAGGTCGCGAAACGTCGAGCTTTCAAAGGCCTTGGACGATTCTTTGGTCCCTGAGAAGATGCTGGCAAACAAGCTGCCGCGTTCCGGTTCCTCTTTGGAGAAAATCAGGACACGTTCTTGCAACAAAGCCGTGTCTTCTGTATTGCGACGCGTTGCACCGCCACGTTCGGACACAGAATAGAAGCGAAGTTGGAGAGAACGAACCGGGGGCGACGGAAAATGTACAAGGGTTATTTTATCCCCTGCTTGATCTCAACGAGAGCGGACGCTGCCGGTGCTCGTTCGCGTACCATCCACCCCGGCAACACTGCGCCTTCCTTCAGACCTTTCTCGCTTCTGTTTGTCCAGAAACGGACCGGCTGGCGGACGAACAATGCTCGTTCAATTTTAAATTACGATTAATAATTATTTCGCGGAAAATCGTACGGTATCTCCGTTTTATACTTAGAATTCATATATGGCGAGCGTGATAAATAAAAAAGGAGCTTGTTAAGGGCTTGCAGACCTCTTAAAGTTGTCCCCCGAAACACGGTAGGAAAGTATCCTACTAAATTACGACGCCGCCGCGTCGTTCTCTCCTCTATCTTTGTTTCACCCCTACCGGTTCCTCCCCCGTCCCGCCCCCGAGTCTGTCACACGCACGTAAAATACAACGCCGTAAAGGATGAACGCGATAACACCCTATCGACGAGTCTTCTCCGGGAAGGGTTGACGCGATATTCTCTTTGAGTATTCCGGCCACGCGACGCAATCCGTGCACCGTCGGGAGGATCGATACGCGGCCGCAAGGCGGAAATTATTCAACGCGAGGGCGAAAATTCCGAATGCGTTTTCGAAAAGAATATCTCGGTGCGTCGGTGCAATCGTTTTTGCTCGCGATGCAACGCCTCTGTTACAATTTCTCGACCGAACGAACTCTCACGGTTGGACGTTCGCCGTCGGGGACCAGAGCAATTCGGACGTTTCAGAGTTTTCTTCGCCGCGTTTTATGACACTGGATGTGTACATGCAAATGAGGCGCGGCTCTCGATTTCGAGATTGCGTACGGCCGGTTATACGATCCTCCTGGACAGGCCAAGGATCATAGTCCGCGTTCGAGTAAGTACTCGGGCGTGTCAGACACCGATCGACGATACCCAAAGGTTGTTTACGACCTTTGTTACGGTATCAGAAGGGTACTTCTGTCACGCGAAACCCGTGAAATGTTTAGCGAGGTATCGGACCGATACAAGCAGAATTCGGCCCGTGAAAACGTTAAACGTGTCCGGATAAAATCTGCATTAATTCGATAGACGTAATCTAATTTGTTTGACACGCGAGGGAAAAGGGTCAGGGGAATACTTACCGGGGAACGAAACGGTATGAAATAATTGGATAGATCGTCGCAACGGCTTGATACCGCGGTGTCACGATAACCATCGTAATTGTAGATTTTACAGTAAATTGCACGAGCGCCGATGCGTTGCGTTCAACTCGCGAATGCACGCACGAGCACTCGCAAACCACCGATCGCTATCTGTCCCATGTTCGTGTTCGTGTTCGTGTTCGTGTTCGTTCTGGCATGTTGGAAATATACAGTGCCGCGGGAACAGAACCTGCCAGGATGGCATCAATCGCGCGTATGCATCGAACGAGCCGCATCTCCGGTAAAAAGGTCGGGAAACTGGGTCGGAAGAGAGCAGAGGACTCCGGCAGCGTCTCCAAATATTCTCTGAATTATGCATCGAGCTTCTTTGTTCTTCGATGACGTCAACGTCAATGGCGACTGACGAGAACTAATCCGGTTGCGTCGACACACCACTTTGTTCGATACGGTGCTTGGAAATATCTCTAGTTCCGAAGACGCCAACTATCCCAGCACGCATAGCAATGCAAGTGATCGAAATAAGAAAGATTAGAACGCGGAATAATTGCTATCGATCGCGTAGTTCCAACCGTTTGCCGATGATAAGAATGAAACGAGATTACCGTACGAGTATGTACTGTGTAGGTACAGGGTACGTAATAAATCGATTCGACAGAGACGCGTACGAGAAATCGCAGTCAGAGGAATACGATTAAACCTAACTCTTGGACGCAACTCTGACGCAAACCGGAAATTGTTGCAAGTTTCTCGATTGCAGTCGATCGTATCGGTATCATTTTTCTCTCTCGTTGCCGTTATTTACATAAAGTTTCTCTTATCGGCGACTCTAATGAACTCCGCCGGGGCAGTTTAAGAGACGCTTTACGAGCTTTGCTTGTTCTATCTCGCAGGAATATCTTAAAGCGGAAGCGGAAGAAATCGACGGTCGGGAAGATCAACGGAAAGGCGAACGGAAGGAAAAGAAAAAAAGAGAGATTTTGCGGTTGCAGCACGCGACGCGACAATCTTATCGATTTCCTCCTTCGACGGTCTTTCATAGTGTTTTTTCTTTTTTATCGATTCAATTTTCGGCAAGAATACGTCCCGAGTCGTAACGTTCTAGTTCGTTTGATATAAGTAATTAATCTTTCGTGCAGGGTGTTCTCATGTTCGTTTATTAAATTATAATTTCCAAGCACGATGAGCTCGTTCGATGAGTTGCGGACGGCACGGCACGGCACGTATGGAAGCTTTAAACAAATATCGATCAACCGATGAAATCGATCGCGTAGCAGCCACAGAAGCGTGTAATTTACATTGGTTATAGGAAACGTGGTTCGCGTAAAAGCAGGTGTAATGGGCAAGATTGCGTGCAGCAGCTGGCAGTCACGATGCTTCGAACCACGAACTGTCTGTCGACGAACGAATCCAACAGCCTGACCGATGAAAAGAATTCTAGAAGCCATCTTTCCCCTCGGTGCTCTTGATCCGCTTTTAACATCGCCTTTTTTTGCCTCTTTTCTAATCTCGGTGGAAAAATATCGTAGCAAAGCGATCGGTAGCGTTAAAAAAATAAATCATTCGCTTAGAAAGAACGCGTTCGTTTGGCTTTCGTCCGAGAATCACGCAACACGAGGTGACGTAACGCGTTCATTGCCGATAGCCTTCCGCCTCTGTCGACTGCTCTCGAGACCTTGTAAAACGGTAGTAATGGGGAAAGGCTATTACCCTGTACCTCCGTAGCTTCCGCAAACACTGCTTGCGCAAACCGTGCCTGAAACAACACGATTCAAAGTCAGGGACAACATTCGTCGAGGACTCGATTAATCGCATTAGTCAGTCTCGCGTGTTAGGCCAGTCGGTTCTTGTAGTCGAGTCGAATTTCGAACGAGGCTTTGTTGTATCGTAGTCTAGACGCGACTATCGGAGGTTCAGATACTAGCGACTTGTTTGCAGAAATACGTTACCGAGAACCGTCTGTGAAAAATGATACGTACATTGTATTTGAACAATTTATCTCAATATCCCAGTATCTATATATCAGTTCTTCAAAGAGAGACTACTATAACAAGATAATTGCTCTCGCAATCAGGGGAAACGGTGTACGGTGATCCTCGAGACTACATCATCGAAAAAGAAATTATATATTTGAAGAGTGATAACGAGCCACTTGGTGAGGCGTAGAAAAGCCGAACGATCGACAAATTAAGAACGAGTGTGCCGCAGTTGCGCGAAGTTTGCAGTCGCGGTCGGTCGTGCGTGAAAACTACGAAGGGAGAAGTGAAGGACCGTCGTCATTAATTAGGTATTATTACCGTTGAACGAGCTAGCCAGCGGTTTCTGTACGTTTGAACGAGACTAAGCGCGCGTTATCGGTCCAGCGTGATTTCTGAATTATCCGAGCATACTCCGAAATCAATCTTTCGCCGTTGCAATCGCTCGTCGACCTCTAGCGACCGGATGAACTATCTAATCTGCTCTCTGACCGTTCATTGTTACATGGAACGCGTGCGTAACCTTGCTCCGTATCTGCCACGTGATTCTTCAACGTCTCCGGCGGGCTTCCCTTCAACATCCGAGTCAATGTCGCGTTCCTTTTTCCACCAACGCGAGCTTAGTATTAGAAATTAGACCATTGGTAACTTACAAGCGTAATTAACCCCCTTGGAAGATGGACTTGGGTTACGTTTACGGGTTGAGTCCTTGGTTTTTCGAACGGGGAAATCGCGATCGATGGGACGATCGTTTAACATGGGCATTTCGCTGTCGATGGTTGGCCCCGAGCGAAGTATGTTTACCTTCGCGCGGCTGGTTAATACCTCGTTGTTTATGAAGCTGTCGCCTTTAACGGGCTCCACATTGCATGGTACGTGGCCCGTGTAATTCGTGTTCGTGTCCTACGGTAAATCGGTTTGATGATGTCGAACCAGGCACTCCCCGTGCGATCGACAACCTTCTAGCCCCTACAATCGAGATTCAGAGCTCTCAGGTTTCGCTTACTGCGGTCGAAATTCGTAGAGAATCGCGTTGTCGCGGTGTTTGCGTTAAAATGTCGGTTAAAACGAGCAACGAGGAACGGAGCGTCGCGATAACAGCGTTTGGGGTGAGCTTTCTAAGGCGGACTGGTTCTTTTTCTGTTTCTCAGGGCAGGAGGAAGGTGTCGTGGTGCTGAGAGCACTCGTGCCGGAGGGTAATGCGCTTGGTGACCGGAAGTGAGAAGCCTCGGGCGGCCTTTTCTTTCTTCGGTCCTCGGTCCTCCTCCTCCTCCTCCTCCACGGCGTTGCTCTCGTCCCGGTCGAACGGCTGGAAGGAAGGAGGCACGACGCAACCAGGTCCCCGGGGAAGCTGAGCTGCAGGTGTAGGAGAACGGGAAGAGCAACGGCAACAACGGCCAACAGGGAGCGCCTCGTCCAGGACGGCGCTCTTCTAACGCCGATAGGAGGGAGTTATGGTGTCTCGCACATGCGATGACTGCGGCCGCAGCCGTGGCACTGTGGCATCGTGCCCACCTTTACAAGGCGATCGTATGCGTCGTGCTCGCCCTCATCGCCATTCAGTATTTACTTAGCGGCGTCATCGATCGCCGATCCATAGAGACGATTTTCACCATTAACACCACCAGGTATGGTTTACAACACGCGAAACGAAAAGATCTTCGAGGTGCAACGATACACCCTGTACCTGTCACCCGAACCTCACCCTTTTCACACCAATATTAACACCCACCGTCGCGCGAAAACTGGATCGAAGCGTTACACTTTAGGACCTGTCATTCTCAAAGGTGAGTTCAACGCCGAATCGAATCGTCGATTCCGTGACGTCAGATTCTTGCTTTAGAACACTTTATTCGAATCCAGACGGTCTTCAAAGTCTTGATAGGTCTTGAAATCTTAATTGGTCTTGATGTCCTAATTGGTCTTGAAGTCCCGATCGATTTTCAAGTCTTAATCGGTCTCGAAGTCTCTGGGCTCGGTCGACTGTGAATTTTTTAAGTGCTTCGAAACTTTTAATAAGTCTCGAACGTATCGGATAAGTATTAATGGACACATAAAGCTTTGTTCGGCGATAATACGACTTTAACAGCTGAAAATACATTGTAGAAATATTTGAAAAACGTTGCTTCATTCCGATAAGTAATATAACTCGACAGTAAATTAGTCGCGCATGTCTGAAAATTGTACGTCACAAAGCAATTTAGAAATATGGTAAAAGTTAAATTATTTTACGATATTGCATTATCGCGAGTTGTAACGGCATGTAATGACATTTTATGAGGCATCATACTTAACTATAGTGTGGGTTGGGATTTTTAAAACATTTAATTTGTTAAATATGATAACGAGACATCGAAACATAGCGTTTTCTTTCGTCCGTGTAGGGGATCGAGTCATACCGGGTCAGACATTTTCCGCGCAAGTGTTCGACCAACGTCCACAATCTCCTCGCACAGAGTTTTCGCTTTGATGGTTTTTGAAAAGTTGTTAAAACTCTGTTAGCAATTTTAACCCATTTACATTGTTCCCAACTTTATTCATGAAACATCGAAACGCATGGAATATATTCACTGTTTGCTGCGCAATCAGTTACAAGATTTATTAGTTGATGCTTCAAAGTCGAGTGTTGGTAAAGAGATATTCTTCTTCTTAAATTGGATTACTGTTCCGACGTAATAATTCGTGCAATTTCATCAAAACTCCTACGCGAACAACTTTGCATAATGGCCACTTGTGCGTTCTCGGGTATTCTCGAACGCAAGAATAAACATCGATGTTATCGCTAGCAAGTCGGTAGCTTCTTACTAATGACTTCTTCCCCGTGAATTCTGCCGATGGAAGTCAAGAAGTAGATAAAGAACCGTTTGCAATTGGAACGAGTGTGCATCGCACGGCGAAGTACGCAATTACTTCTTGAAATGACCCGAAGCGTATTTAAACTCACAGGGGCCGCGTATCGACGCGTTGGTCGAAGTGTGACGCAATAAATTGGCACGGTCCGCGTCGTCGTCGCGAACTATTTCTTAAACGGTTCGATTCTCGCGGAACTCGAGAAATCTTCGGTCGTGGGGGCTAAATTCCACGGTAATGGCGCTCGAACCACTCCCGGATGCGTAGAGATCGAACAACGGGTCCCTCGGATCTCGATTATTATTCGGCTCGCCGTTCGCGTCGGCAAGTTCGCAGACCTTATTGTTCTTGCATCGTCCCGGGGAAAATTCGCGAAATCTCGGAACCGTGACTTCGTCGAAAGTTCGTTTAATTTGGAAAGTATCTCGCGCTCGTCCGGGTCCGCGTCTTTTAATTAATTTAGACACCCGTCCACCCCTGCTCGAGCCTCGTCTTCTCTGTTTACACACCGATTCGCGATCTATTGCGCAACGCTAAGTCATCTAAGCAATGACCATTAATTTATTTAATGGATAAGATCCTTTTAATACAATTCTAAAGTATATGAAACAGAAAGTAGAAGAAAGAGAAAATCATATTTTATTAATATTTGCGTTTATTTCCAATCATCGATTTTTATGACCTTTTATCGTATCCGATCGCCGTTAGAACGATATATTCGGAATAGAGTCGTGCCAGTTTCGCCGGTATATTAGCCGAAGTTACCGCAGCTAGTTGTCAGATCAGCAACTGGAGGTTACGTCGAGATCGATTCTCGTCCTTTGAGACCCGCAGACACGCGAGAAATCTTATTAGTTGGCTTATAACAAGGTAAAGTGGCTGCTTAACGGCGAGGCTGTAACATCACAGTTACCTATACATCCGTCTAACGCGGAGAAACAATTTGCGGGACCACCGATAATGGAAAATGATCGGTCGTCGGTCGTTACTAAGGTTTATTGCTTCTTTCATCGTTGTACTCGTGTCTTGTATCGAGAAACATAGTCCAACGGCAAATTTTCCCGCGGAAAACACAATCAACGTATTTATGAAAATCGTCGAGAGCTTCGTTAATGCGATCCGTTAGAAATATTACACGATACGCGAGCAGCTAATCGTCCGTGAATTATCGCGCTATATCGATGCAAATGGTCAAGCGAATAAAATAGTGGAGGATTAATGCGGTCGATTTGGGGGGGAAAAAGTTGCGCGGGTCGTTTCCGGTCGAAAATCGTGGCAAATTACCGCGATTTAACCAACGGTGGCCGTAATTCTCCTCCATCGAAGTAAATTTCCGTGAAAATTCGTCCTTCCAGCCGAGCCGGCACGTATATTCCAGAGGCGTACGTGATCTCGTTACTTCGTTAGCGGTCATTTAGATTGTCCGTTTGCGGAAACGCTCGGCTAACAATCCTTTGACCTTTGCGCCTTCCGAAACGTCCATTCCGCGTCCCGCAGTCGGCAGTGTAAAATTCATCGCGAACTTTGGCCGATTGCGTCGTCGTTCCTGCGTGAAATATTTAAAACTCCCTCGGTGGCACTCAAAGAATATTCCCACAAAACGATGCTCCGTTCTCCTGTCTCTTTTTCTAACAAGAAAGAAAAGAATCAGGAAGAAAGAGACGCGAGACGAGTCTTGCGCGTTTCTTCGTCGGGTTAAGGTCGCGACTTTGAAAGAAACGCCTGCAACAGCGGCATTGTACTCCTCGACAGTCGCGACGCTAAACCGTCATCGTTAAAGATAAAAAAAAGTCGGTTCTTCGGAAGTTTTTCCTTCTCGCCACGGAATCGAATATTTTTCGCCCTCCTTCGGAATGCGCGTCGCCGAGAAAACGGTTTAATTAAAAACCGTGGAGCGTATTTAACGAGGCGGTTTCTTTCGCTCCGGTACGATTTACGAGCAGTCGGTAACGGTTAATTTAAAATTTCACCAGCGGCGCGTGACAACAATTTGTTATTCTCGTTTATTCGGCGCCTTGGAAGTCCAGCCGCGCCGTGGACCAGTTATTCGTCGACGTTTTCGCGTTTTCGAGTCATCATCCGTGTCTCCTTATGCTTGTTCGATACGCGTAATCAGGCACTCTGCCATTATCGAAACGGGGAAACGTTGGGTGTGGTCAAGATTGATCGTTACGGGTTTGTGGAAAGCGAGCGAACGTTGGATGGCCGAAAAGACAATGTGTTTAGAAATTTAGAGATCTTCGGGAATCTCCGCGATTCGGTTAGGATCGACCTCGTTCGACCGTTTTTCCATGATTGGAAACGAACGCCGAGCATCGGAGGTTTCAGACGACGCAATCTCGTCGCGTGCAAATAGTCCAAGCACCTGGATCGATCGTCTCTAAGTTATTTCGTCGATGTATCACTAGTTAATGCCGCGCAGTTGTTTCGCAATCAGCCGCGAAGGTTGCTCTCTCGCGTCACTTTAGACGAATTCTCGACAATCGCATCAGGCTCGTTCTTCCGACGCTCTAATCGATACTAACGAGAAACTGACAGCCCCTGATAGAACGAATATCTTTACACTGGATGTGCCTCGATGCTTCCTACAGAAACCTATAAGCAGAAATTGTTCTTTAATCTTCGTTCGAAATAGCGACAGCCTTCGTTGAAACTATCTTTCGCTGTCACGTTATTTTCGATACGTCCTCGACATTTCTGTATCTTTTATTTCACGGTATTTCTCACGAGAATAGAATGCGTCCAGATACGATCCGTCATATCGCGCCTCGTAAATGTAAACAACCATCCATTAGAACAGCTACCTTGCATTTCCACGGACACACGCTTACGCGCCTAATCGCGCTGACACTCGCTATTACTGTTATTTGCGATAGAGCCCCATCGCCGCGGAGATTGTTCCCATATTTCTCCTTCGTACGTCGAGGAATGTTAATTCGGTTGCATGTTACCTGGAGGGACGCAACCATACTTCTGTTTCGCCATGCACACCGGTTATCATGCGTTATTACGCGCAGCCGTGTATCCGTCGAACGAATCGTTTCATCCCCGAGGTTTTTCTCCTCCCGTAAACGAGTACGTGTTCCAAGTAATCGATCGTAGTTTACGGAAGTCCCGGGGCAACTTCCGTCGGCCATCTCTAAATCATCGTCGAAGGAAACGCTGGTGGTTTCGTTCTCGTAAATCTGTCCTCCGGACGTGCCGTCATATTTCCCAGAAATATCATTCCTTCTAATTCTTCTATATCATCGAACGGTTATTACAAAATTTTAATCATGGTAATTAAGTCTATTACCCTAGATCGCATTGCTTCCTAAACAACAACAGATGTTCACCGCGAATATCAAAGTGGATTCAGCGAACGCATCCGCGTCGCGACGCACGATGCATCCCGATTGAAATTTCATTAGCATCGACAGTTACTTCTCGGCACTGTTCGCTCGAAACTTCGTCGGGAATAAATTTTACCGTTCAGCTTTTTTCCTAGGGAATTTCCGTACCGGAAGCAACCGGTTATATCGCGAACTCTGCCCCCCCATCGATCGCTTTACGCGTTCCGTTTTATTTTCCGCGACTCGAGCAAGAAATCCTCTTTTATTTCGAACGCGGGCCGCATCCACGTCAAATAATATCGAGGCTCGTTTAAGTCTAGCCCCGTGCGACAGATACCGGAAACGTTTTAAAGGACGAATGGGAAGTTGCTCGCTTCTCTGTCCCCTTTCCTTCGCCTCTTTCTCGCAAACACTGAACTTTCCTCCGCGTTATTACCCCTCCATCCACTCTGTGATACGAATACAGAAAACGAGAACCCGACAAACTTTTATTAGACCTTCTCTTTTGTCTAAGCGTCGATCGATGCGGAAGAAGAAGCCATGTCGATATTGGTTCGCGCTCGCTGGGAATCAATTACGCGCCCACGTCGTGTACGTATTCGTAAGAACGGTTGCACGTCGTTGCGCGTCGAGAGGATCCTGCGGGAAGGATTAAAAGTGAAATATTATTCCCTGCTCGGAGATGTCGCGGCTCGGCTAACACGTTGCGTCAGATTTATGATGCACCATCCGTGCTAGGAATACCTACGAATTCCACCGGTTCAGGACTTCCTTGTGACTTACGATGCAATTCGTTGTACACGGGGATATAACTCCATCTACATACCAAATTTACTCGTACGGGGGTTGATCCGTGCGTTTCAATCCCCGTAACTTTATTAACCGTTTGCCCCGCCGACCGATCAACGCTCCCAAATCGTCGAATTTTCCCAAGAGCGTTCGCGTTGAAATTATCTCGTGCGGCGCGATGAATTTTGAAACGACCCGACGTACGTACAAAGCGAACGATTTTTACGTTTTCGCTCGTACTTTGTCCTCCATCCTTCAAACAGATTTTACGCTCCGGTTGGGCTTTCGGATTCCCGAAGCGCGGGTGGAACGTATCGCCCGATGAACTTACAATTAAATAAATATATAATTATGTTACGGTCGAACGCGCGCCAGCTGAATTATTTAAACACGGTTAAATGCACGGGAAATGCCACATAGTTGCAGCGTCCGTACCAACTACATAATACATCCAGCCGGTGAAGTTATGCGAAGCATACCGGGCAGCTGCAGAGATTGCCTCCGGATGGAATTCGAATCGAACGATCAGAATTTTTTAAAAGGATTGCTTCGCTCTTCATTAACATTTCCAGAGGGATAATGATTATAGTTTTGTATAAAATAGTCGAGTATATTTATTAATCGGGTTCCCCGGTGAATTTCCACTGTGTAATCCGGCTCGAGGGGTTAATATTTGCCTGTCGGAGACGCGGATGGCGCGGAACCCTAGTTGGACTTGATTTTAATGGCGCGAACGGTGCGCGAGAGTTTCATTTCGAAGGTATGAAATCCATACGGGCAGCGTGTACGGAAAGGGACAAATTTCAAAGGCGATAAAGTTGGAGTTTGGCGAGGGCCACAGGTGCGCGTGCGACGGCCATGAATATTCATGGGATTGTCTGAGAGATTGGGTGCTTGGCCACTGATCTCCCCTCGATGAATGACGTTATACAACGATGGCACAATCCCCGCGGAAATTGCGACGACGAAACGACGGACCGTCGGTAAAACTCCGATAATGCACGTCGTGTCCGTCGTTCTGCCGTTGCAGCGAATTAAATTCGATTTCCGAGCGCGTTATCGAAACTCGTCACCGTTTCCACATGCGAGCCGCGTGCATCCTGTGCCGCCGCGCGTTGCATACGTACGCGTTTAATTATCCGTCGATGATTTCATACACCGGTGAAAAAGTCCGACGCGGTTCCCGATCGACAAGTGGTTTTCGAATCGGAGCTCCGGCGGAAAAGTTAAAATTTCCAAACGTAATTTGGGCTATGGAGAGTTAGTTAGCCCGAACGGAACAGAAGCAGTACGTTTTAAATACCGAAATAAATTGCCAACGTCGCTAACGAAAGAAAGCATCTTAAGCGCGATCCTGTTAATTGGTAAACGTCTCTACGGATTAGCAAACAAATAATTCAACGAGCAGTTTAGATCCGGGGGAAACGCTCGCGGGATGAATTCGCCTCCCGTTTCGAGCAACCCGGCGCGAACGTCGACGATAAAAGAAAGCGAAACGGCGTCGTAAATTCGGGAAAATTTCGCCGGCGCCCGCCGTTGAATGGAAGTCAAAGAAGAGTCCCGGCGGGATGCAATCCTTGCAATTTCGTTTTATCGATCCCCGCGAAAAAGCCCGTGGCTGAATCTCGAATCGAGCCGGATACCTTGGAAAACGGAACGGCATTAAAATGAGACGGACGAGCGCGGTGAACGTCGGCCACGAATATTTCAAAGGCCGTTCGAGTAGTCTCGAGCGAATTAGAAGGCAAAACTCCGTGGAGAGTGCATTAAGAAAGTGCTCGAGAGCCGCTTTTAAACTTCGTCGTGGGCTAGAAGGTTCCGGCACCGGTGCCAAACTCGATTTTCCGACAGGTCTCGCCGGTTAAAGAGATCCAAAATTTAACGCTCAAAAATCAAACGTCATTTTTCATTCGCTTTAAGACAAACAGTTTTATTCCTTCTTCGAAGTTATTTTAAATGGGATACATTGTGTTTCGATTCGCCACGCGACCGTCGAAGCGTCGAGGTCAGAGTTTTGGCAGCTTCGGTCGGAAGATGATGGCTGCGAACGCGTTGGCGGAAACGCTGTCGTTTGGCTGGCTTTGTCCTGGGTCAAGGTTTCCGTACGCCACGTCGTGGAAAGCGTTACATCTGTACTGGCAGGACGTGTTACCACAAAATTAGTCGGTCGATGCAAAAGCAACGTAACAGACGCCATCCTTTGAATGGCGAGACCACCAGGCGCCTTTCGATCACGTAAATGGCAGAAGGGAACCTCGAATCCAACTTTTCTCGACACGTGTCGTCGTTAATATGCATCCCGTATTTGAAGTCGATCGCTGTGGGTCAGGAAGACCGTGTAATGTGAATTTCCTCGCGCAGTGGCTCCTCAAGAGCAGTTCGAAGTATTCGTCGCGCCAATTTCTGAACGAATACCGCGTTGTCAGCTCAAGAAGCATTTGCAACGTCTCGCCGCGTCAGCTTTCGGCCATCGGGACACAGCTATTTCCCCGGAGATTCTTTAAATGAACGCGTTATCCGCGCTTCATTTGTACTTTATTAGGGTCTTCGAGATCCTCGGATCGATTCGAAACCGCGCGGTCGCCTTCGAGGATTTCTCCGGTGAAATTACTGTCACGATTAGATGGCCGATCGGTTTACTAATCGTCGTAGGACGTCATTAGCGTACGGTACGGAGTCAGCCTCGAGGTAATGCTCGCATAGCTCGTTCAACCTAGGCACAACTGGTTTGGTAATTGGTTCCCCGGCGCGCACCAGCCATTAGAAACCAATACTAATCAATATTTGATACGTGGCTATAGAATTCCATCCGTACGCGTAATGGATAATTAACGAGATTTTTCTTCGGAAACGTCGGTAATTTCCATTATCTTCGCGCCATATCCGCAGCTACGCAACCTGGAACGAAGTTGTAAAACTCTGATTTCGATTACGCATCGATCCTGCTCTTCTCGATTAACAGTTTAGCCAGATGGTAGATACTTTTTAAGACATTCCTTTTCCAGTCCAGAAACCAAATTAACGCTCTTTTCAACTCTTGACCAACACTATTTTCTTTTTACTCCCCGCGAGAAACGTCCCTCCCTTTCGTCGTGAACTCTTTGTCTTTTTGTTTCGAGGTCGTCAACGTTTCACAAACGCTGACGGTTCGCCGCTCCTAACCAAAACTTTCATCAGAATTCCTCGCAGTAAATTGCGTTGCATTTTTCCACGTAACAGGGTTTTCACGCGACCCGAGCTGCATAATGAGTAAAACTAACAATGTTTACCCCTCTGCGTGCAGGCAAAGGGGGGGATTAAGTTATCCAGCGGGCGGTTGTTTACATTGCTGCTACCAAAGAAAATTATTCTCGAGATTTTGTCGCCTCGCCTCCTAGATTGGCATCGCGGCGGATTGCATTATCGGGTCTTTCTTTGGCGCGCGTAGAAAAGAAACGGTTCGAATATCTTTCGGTGACCCCGCACCGGGCCGTCTTTAATTAGATCCCGGTTCGATAGGCCTTTAGAGACGGAAATACGGTGGCACTTTGTGGAAGGTTTGCGCCAAAACGGCCAGGAATAAATCTCGGGCACGCAACGGCTAAAAATACTCGATGATTCGATCGCACGATGAACAGACAGTATTCCTCGATTTCAGGTACGCCGATCGTACGTACAGGCACCATCCGCGGGGCCTGATCATATACGGACCCGTAACGGTGCCCAGTTTACTGAACAATGGCTCCGCGACGACCCTGCAATGGGCCGGCCGGGGTCATTCAAATTTCTCCAAGTTGGATACCATGTTCCCCACTCGGAACGCGTACGTCTTTGGGAGCTCGCAGGAAGTATCGCAGGGGAACTCGACGAACAGCACCGTGTTGCAACGATGTCCACTTCTGCCCCCAAACCTCGGTAAGTCATCGCCAATTTTGTCGAGTTGTTTCCGATAAAAAAAAAGAATTTCAATCCGTTGGAGTTTTCCTGGACGATCGTAAGCTTGTAAAGACAGAACAGGAAACAACCGCTTTGTTCCATCGGGTAAAGCAATAGGCTTTCTCGTGCAAACAGTTGATTTACGAGAGTGCTTCGACGCGACGAGTCTAACCTTGTAGTCGATGGCTACGTGTGCCGTTCGTTTATTTATCCCACGGGATTCCCTCCACGGAAGAAACGAAAAGACAAACGAACGCTCGGGAATCTCGTTCCCCGTTCTATCTGGGATTTTTTTTCGACGCTGTTCGCGTATCGCGTTCTCGTTGCAATCGACGCAACGAGCCCCATCGATCGCGATCCATCGTGCCCGGTGTTCCGGAACTTGGGAATTTCCAACGCGAAACGGTCAACAAATAATCGCTATTTCGGGGGGATAAAAAACGTAGTTGATTCGTGACTGCGTCCGCGGTGTTTTCAGTTGGACCGTTGGCTGTTACCAAATCGCCTCCCGAATTGTCGGTGATCGAGAAAGCGTTCACAGACGTGAAACCCGGTGGCAGAGGATATCCGGCGGATTGCGTCGCCAGGCATCGGGTCGCCATCATTATTCCGTTTCGCGATCGTCCTCAGCATCTTCAGGCGTTGCTCTACAATCTTCATCCGATGCTACTACGTCAGCAGATCGACTACCAGATATTCGTGATCGAGCAAAAAGGTGAGTCAATATTTGCATCGAGAGATAATTAACAATCGATAAGATCTCGACCCGCAACACCGAGCTGACCTCCGATCGTACCTGAACGCCCATAGGGCGTGTCTATTTATACAGGGCGTATTTTAAAGGTCGACCGTCGAACTTTTCACGCTATCTCGAAATTGCACTCCGTACTTTCGACGAATATACTTTGCAGGACGCCGTCGTTTGTCCGATACGATCAATCCGATATCCTCGAACGAACTTCTCCGACTGTATGTCCCTTTCATCCACTTGGAGCTCGTTCGAAACGCTAACGTGATTTTTAATTAAATTTATCCCCGTCGAATCGCCGGAGCATCGATCGGTTCACCGTCCCGTTTTTTGTTATAATAAGCAACGGGTCAGTCGATTTCCGACGAATTTCGTCGTTCTGATCTCTTTCCTTTTTACGATTCGTCTTGAAAATTTGTTGAAATAATTTTAAATCATCCAATAACTCGTAAACGAATTTCATATCGCATAATCCTGCCCGTCCTCGTTTCGAGTACGCGAGCGTAATTTAGTCGCCCCATCGAGCGAAACACATTATTGCTCTCGAAAAAGGTCAACATAATATTATCAGTGAGTGTCAGTCGAGTGCTATAGCGGTCAGAAGTATTCAGTCTACAACCTCTTTGACCCAAAGCGAGCATATTATTAATACGAACGAAATAACAGCCATTAACTTGGGACATTAATGTTTCATACGCACCGTTTAAAATATACATTTTAAATGGGACAATATTGTCGGGTACTTCCCGCAACGATGCAAATACCGTTCGGTCGGGAAATTCGAGTCCGTGTTAGGTCTGGCGGTATTTGCGTTAAACGGAAGATAGATCGCGAGTCAAAGAGTCTGCTCCAATAATTCTTATTTGCGGAATCCGTCGCGGGGCTCGCGATAAGGGATTCCAGCGGCGAGCCGTAACGAGTTTATCTCTCTTCTCTTCTCGAAACGAACCGGATGGCGGGGGCGAGCCAAGTCGAGCAAATCCCGCGGGATCCTAGCCCCGGCGAATGGGAATTATTGAAACGCGACCAATCTAATTTCCTCGTTCGCATAATGGCCGACGCGGACGAAACAAAGGCAGCGACCCCCGGCCGGGTACGTCGTCCGATAAATATTCAGGATGACAGCAATTATGTAAAAGCGATGTATTCGGTGGGTGACTTTGCTTCGACATCGTCGCGAAAAGAGAAGAGCGCCGAGCTATATACGGGGCCACGGGAGGAAGAGGAAACGCGCAAGAAGAGGGAGAATTTGAATTGCAAAGAGGCGGTAGAGCGGAACCGTGTCCGGACCATTTAAAGCAATTAAATCCGCGTTAAGGCGAGCGTCCCGGTGTCGCGTCCACGGCTAACGTTCGCGTTTAACTCGCCTGCCGGCCATCGAAATCTGCCCTCGATTTTCTCTTCGTCGAGATAAAGCGCGGCGAGGAGACGAGTGGTCAGACTGTCTCGCTAGCACAGGGTGCATCGAATCCACGCTCCCGATACCGCATTGCGGTATATGCAACAGCTATCGTTCTGCTCTTGTGTCTCCGCGATTAAATTACGCTCGAGTATCGACTTACGTAAGGGTTGCAACGTCTCCGAGACCCTGACCGTGAACCAACGATCGCCGCATCCGCAGCGAAAGATGGGTCACCGAGTTTTTTCGCCATTTTACAATGTACCTTGACATCTTGACGCTTTATCCGCAGATTCCGTTAAACGGATATCTCTGAAACTGTTCCAGCGGCTTGGTTGATTAATCATGCATCCTGATAGGCGCGAGCGACACGCAGCGCGGCTCTTCGAAAGTAGGTTTCTCGCGAAGATGACATCGATGGAATCATCCAACACCTGTTGGGTCCGAGGCGAGCCGAGAATCGCTCGAAAGTTACGAGTCACGCGGCTCGTTAAGGTGGAAGACGCGATGCAATTAGTCGCAGCTGTCGTAGATTCGCCGCGGTACCGTTAATATCGTTTGGATTCGTTTGTCGAAAGCGTCGGGGAAGTTGCCATTGCCGTAACTGTACAGGAACGTGTTCGCGCGGACCTCGTTAACGGGAATTCGCCCCCGCGCGTGATCCGCGATCGATTTCGTCGAGGATAATTCATAAAAGCACGATAGATTTATGCAGGAAAATTAATCAATTGTTATCACACGGCTTTACAGCGACGCAAAGCTGCGGAGAGGACGTTTAAATTATGTTTCCCCGTGCGCGCGCGCGAAGAAATATTACGTTACTTGTTCGTTGAGCTAATATTTGTACTTGTTAGACGACGGAAACGATGATCCCCGCGAAGGGAGAAAAGTCTTAGGTCGGTATAATTTAGGGTAAGGAGAAAAGAAGCAGCCGCGAAGAAGATTCTATATGACGCCAGCGATTTGTCGTGGTTCTTCCCCCTTTTCGGCTCTCGAGTCTCCATTCATCATCCTCTTATCCTTAAGGCGACCTATAACCGTTACTCTTTCGCGGAGAAAAAGATCGTGTTCGTTTTTTTGCCATTCCGGCTAAGTAGATGCAAGGAGAACCGTCGCCCGTTAACGCCGTCCGCGTTCTGCTCGTGGAATACGTCAAATTAGATTAATAACGAGATCTTCCGTCCGAGCCGATAATCTCGGGCCAACCCGGGATTATTGAATCAAATTGTGATCGATCGTCCGGATTCCATTAAGCGGGGACTGTCTAGCAACAAACGAGAAAATTAATCTCCTGGCCCTCGGAACGCCGGTGAATTTTCTTGGCGATAATAAACCCGCGGGCGAAGTTTGTTTGCGTTCGTCGCGGTCGAGAAGCACCAGCCTCCGGGAAATTTTAATAAAACGTCTCCATCGTCGAACGAGTGTATTTGTTTGCGCTCGCGATGCCCGCCTTGATTTGATCGAAGCGTGAAAACGCATCGAGGCAACGGTATTCGATGGCAAATGCGTGGAATCGGCTCTCTTTACCCGCGACACCTTCCATTTTCTCCCTTCTATGCGATCTCATGCGTCACGTTGTTCCTCGGTTGACCTACATGTGTGCATACGTGTGGCCACCGTGTAATATATTTAATAATAAAAAAAGAACTATTTACATCGTAAAGTACTTAGAGGTTTACGCGTATCTTTGACAACTTTGCTCGCTGATTGAAAAGCGTCGATCGATCGCAAAGCGTTTTAGGAAAAGCGTCGCGCCGTCGATGCGAAATTCTCAGCGGCTTCGCGAGCTCGATAGAAAGCACTCGAGCGCCGTTTCCTACGTTAATTCGCGCGAAGCCTGATAAAGTTCTCATTGTGTTTCAGGCAGCGAGTCCTTCAACCGCGCGATGCTCATGAACGTCGGCTACGTCGAAGCCTTGAAGGAACGGCTTTTCGACTGTTTCATTTTTCACGATGTTGACCTACTTCCGGAAGACGATAGGAACTTCTACACCTGTCCCGAGCAACCCAGGCACATGTCGGTCGCGGTCGACAAGTTCAAATACAGGTAACGCGTCGAGATAACGCGTTATTTCGGGCCGTTCGATCGCTAGCTCGGGAAATAGAACACCGAGAGAGACCCGTTTCTTTTCCGTGTTCCGCAGGCTACCGTACGCCGATCTGTTCGGCGGCGTGTCGGCGATGTCGCGCGAACAATTTCGCCTGGTGAACGGATTCAGCAACGTGTTCTGGGGCTGGGGCGGCGAGGACGACGACATGGCTAATCGGATAAAAGCGCACGGTCTTCACATCTCCCGGTATCCGGCGAACGTGGCGCGATACAAGATGCTCACGCACAAGAAGGAGAAGGCTAACCCAAAGAGGTGAGCCAACAAACCTTTATAGTTGATACAGAGGCTCGAGAAAATTTTAAAAAGGCTTGCACCTTGACGGGCCCAAAACGAGCGGTACTTGAACAAATTTTTTACAGGAAAGGTATGCGACCGATCGAAAGCGTTTCCTGATCTTTTGAGAACGATTTTTGTTTAATGTCTATGTTTATTTATAGCGGAGGAAATTTGGTAGACATATTTCCAATAAAAGTACTCGTTTTCGGCTCGTCAAGGTAGTGCAAGCCCTCGATCAGAAATTGCAGTTTCCTTGACCGGCGAATAATTTGCTCCCAACAGGTACGAGTACCTGAAAACGGGCAAGAAGAGATTCTCCACGGACGGACTGACCAATCTCCAGTACGAGCTGGTCGATAAGCAGAAGCCAAAACTATACACTTGGCTTTTGGTGAAGCTGACGCCCCCTCAGCCCAGCTGATGGCTGTCTTGGATCGGGTAGTGGAGAGGGCCCAGAGACGTCGTTCCGCGTCCAGTACCGGTAGGAGGCGACGGAGACTTGTACGGGACCGAAACTATGTTCGATCGGTGCGTGGACGACCGGTTGGAACGGTCCAACGGTCGCGAGTGATCGTAAAAAGTTTGGTTCCGGTAAAATTCGTGGAACGAATCCCGCCAGCTTTCCGACCGACGGTCCAAGATGTCCTGGAGCGGCGTGTAACGTCGACGTTGCATCCGCGCGCGATTCTCGCGGGTTGTTTCTCTCGCGGGTGGTCGGCGGCAACGAACGAGAGAAACGTTGTTACGTGATATATTTTTATTCCTCGTATTTTTTTATCGCAACGATAGGCTAGAGAGCAAGGTAGAATGTAGCGTACGAGCTAACGTGCCAAAGGAAAATGTGTGTGCGTGTGAAAGCGAGCCGTGGTGGCCGAAAACGAAGAGAGAAAAAGAGAGAAGAGCGGGTCGGTAGAAGCTCCGTTCGTCCTTTTCGGAGTGTATTGTACATATACGAGTACGCACGATCCACAGAAGTTTGAGGCTTCCTCGGTCGGGTTACGCGAAATGCCAGTAGCCCGAGTTTCCGGTTGACCGCCGCGTATCTAGGACAGTTTCGTGGCGAACTCGGCTTCCATCGAGCTCCCGCGAACCTGCATGCGTTGCTTTTTGCAACCGTGATCCCTATTTCGCATGGAAGCGAATACGCGAGCGGCGAACCAATCCGAATCTCCGTTGTAATTTTTAACGCTAGATCTACGGAACCCGTCGATCTCACGGGTTTTAGATTCCGTATTTCGAGTCACGGAACTCGGAAATATTATCTGTTAGCAATTTATATTGAATTTTATATCCTGATTAAAAGAAAAACCGCATTAATGTCCGTAAATCTAGCGTTAATGCACTGGTACCACCCGTCTATTTGTTCCACGGATCCGTGTACACTGGTCGAAATGTCCGTAGAGCCGGACTTTTCGACGTTGTACTTATGGTAAGTTAGCATTTTATATGATTTTGGGATTAATCGAACGAAACGAGCATGTGGTTGTATTAATAAACGAGCCATCGGGTGGAGAGAAGGGCCTGTACGTCAAAGTGCCATTTCGTGTACGGCTCTAAATATCATTTGCAATTTCTTTTCTTGTCATACTATGCGTGTACATGGATCCTTAATTCCTTGATACACGGTGCGCGTGTATTTTACAGGTTTTGCTATTCATACTTTCGTTTCAACGGACATTTTCTACCGCCATATTCTCCGACGACGAACCTTAAAAAAAACTAACCGTAGATTTCAGCCAGAAATTGAAGCTACCGCCGGCGCGGTCGACCTAGAAATCCGCGCCTTTGCCTTTACGATTTATACGCCTCTTCTCGAACTACCGATAAAGGGTCCCCCGTTATCGGGAAGACCCGTACTCGACGCGTTGGCATAGAACAGACGATAGAAATCGCGTTTTTCTCAACGCGAACTACTTTCCATAGCTTCCGGCGGAACGATGAACGTTTCGCGTTTTTATCGCGAGCAACCATAAACGTTCCGTGGGTCGGGACAGCGTGAGAAATCGTCGCTCGGGAACGACGGAAGCTTTTGGTCGTTCGAAGTCCGCGGGCACGGTGCTCTCGAGCGGAACGAAAGGAAGCCTATTTTTTTGTTTAGGATTCGCGTAGTCATCGATCAATAAGTCTCGTTAATTGCGTCGCGAAAAGTTTATTTCTGTACTTGACGTGATCTTGTACAGACGGACGTATAATGGAAACGGTACTTAAGCGTCTAACGTGAACAAAATGGCGGAACTCTGCGTATTCGAGGACGCTCATCGTTTAGCATTTTATACGTATTTCCTTGAAAACTACACACACACACACACACACACCTACACACGACACATGCATGCACACGCTTCGTTCGAAAACTGTGATTCGCTGGTGAATTGAACTCGATACTCGGTTTTTCAAGGTTTCGAGCCGTGGAATCTGTAGACGGAAGGCGGTGAAAGTTTCGATCGAGGTCAGAACACAAAACACTAACATATCACGCGTATCATAAAGCACGTGGTTACGCGCGCCACGTTGGTCGTTTGGAATCAATACTTAAATCGTTAAGGGTGAGAGTACGGGCTGTGAATAATGCACCTTCTTTACGGCGACAGAAGTCTCGCGAAAGACGTGGAAGAGCGCGCTAAGGTCGAACCAATTTCCTTTATGCGAGCATCTACGTGCGAACGGATCGCCAATAATCCTCGCCTCGTCTTCGATAACGAGGGAACAGTCTTCGAATTACTGCGAACGTTACTCCGGATCGTAAATCTTCGAGAAATGCACGCGTTTACCCCTATCTCCGCTCGTCTGCTGGGAGTCTTTTGCTCGAATCATAAGTGGAAGATTGGGTTGTAAGAATACGGGGAATCGAAGACTACTAGTTTTGATTTTACGCCATCGTAAACTACATAAGCTAACATTCACAAATCCTATCCAAATTCATTTTTCTGTCAAAGTGTCGAGGGTCTTTTGTAATCCAATGACACCAACTAACGCTTAAGTTTAACACTAAACTTACCACGACCGGTCATCCGACCGGTTGAATGATTTATATTTGAACTGGATAAAATTTGGTACCAAATACTGGTTAGAGAAGAGAGAATTTTCAGTTTCCACTGTCTTAAAACAGTCTAACAACGCGTATTAAAAATAGTTAAACTTCTGACGCGTACAGTTTCGAAACTAATAATGTCTAAATTTATAAATGAGCCTTCGTTGGAAGCGGCAAAGCCTCCCCTTTAAAATGGCTTTTGAATTTTGTCGATCGGACTTTTCGTTTCCGAGATATCGTAATTTATGTAAAAGGTAATTTTTCTAATTCGCGTATCGCTGTGTTCGTCTAACGCGTCGCGTCGGACCTCCTTGTCGCACGTTGACCCACTGACCGAGTGACCGAGTGACGTCACGTTTACTATTCACTACGAGCACGTGCGGTCAATGACCCTGACAAGGCCGTAGTAAGAATGTAAACAAACGCTTCGAACCCTTATATCTCCGGAACTAATAGAGCTATCGACTCGCACAAACGCTCGTTTTAAAGGGCATTTCATCCCCTATCCGTTGACCATATTAACTATCATAATTTATGCTGTCTTCTATGTTTATTGTGACATTTACTTTGACGCTACATACCCAAAGTAGTTTCAGCACTTCCTATTGATCGTACGATTGATGTGGGATAAAACTAGACTATAAATTGTTTATTCAATTGAAAATGAATTTAAATTTGATTTGCAAGAGGTTTATTGACAATTTTCCAGTAGAAATATGTCGTCCAATATATCCAGGTATCCGAAACGAGTTAATATCTGAAAGTTGTGAAACTATCGAGCATCGGTGTACTTTGCGATGGTATAAAAATGGGAATTCGCAGCGATTCGAAGCCCCGAAAAATATCGAGCTTCGAGCGACGAGAACAGCGACATCGATGCCTTTTGCACGTTGTTCCGTGTTTGTAACGGAATCCTCTGCGCGCTCCCTTAATCGTCCGCTCCTACCGATCGGATTATCAAACAGCGTTACCCGAGAACCGATCGATGTTGCTCGTTTTTCGCAACGATCGGGTGTCGGGCGCTGTTCTTGCACGTCGATATCGAAAGGAGGTTAAAACTTGAAGAAGAACGACGCGGTTTGAAACGATTTCAATCTACTTTAAGGACACTGTACCATATAATTATCGTTATCGAATAATATCGATATTATAGATAATCGAGATAAGGGAGAGACGTCGGGAAACGTCGAGACGTGTGATCGACGTGTATCAAACGCGAATATCTTTTCCGTTGTTGATTGAAAATTGCATCCGGGAAATCCTCCCGCGATGGGCTTAGATTTAATTTCATTTCTCCGATAAAAAGACGTCGAAATTGATATTTTCGCGAACGATGCGTTCGGATTTGTTTGAATAGAGATCTTTTATTTTTGTTAGTAAATTCTGGTGTCCATCGGACGGGGCATATTCATTTCGTTGATTTTTCGTTCGCGCTCGTTCCGGAATTACCGAAACTTGATCGACAAAGACGACATAGTGATCGAAACGAAAATGCATAGAGTAAGGAGATCGTAAGTATTTATATATGATGGTAATCGATAGTCTGATACGTACGCGCGAGCGCGTAAACGCGATGCATAATAATACGTACGATTATTATTATTATAATCCGTCGCTTATGTCGAGGCATTAAGGTATTCGCGAACGAATGAAACGGACACGAGGACTATTTGATACGAAAGCAACGACATTTTATAATCTCTGCGTTGGTACTCTGAAAGAGCAGACCGACACCGAAGAAAATTGCGAACCGTAGGGCAAAGAGACATAAAACGCAAAAAAGAATGAAAAAAAATGCATCCTCGTGTACGTAAAACATGATATCTCCTCAATTTACCTGGAAGATTACAGGTTTTCACAGGTTACACTCGTGATGTATCGAAACAATAAATCTTGTTAAGGCTTATCCTCTTGATCCCGTGTATCTTTATTGCATTCGTTCTTTTTCCTCTCGGACAAGTACGCGTGGATTAATCTGTGTGTCTACTCTCTACAGTAATGGTTTATAAATAAAACGATCACAAAATCGGACACCAGTGGATATTTATTCGCAATTTTGCTGACAGTTACAGTCTTTTATAAGCATTGTCTTCATTCTTACAAGTCATTTGAAGAATCATTACTGTATCACGGACAATCGAATCGCGAATTAACCGAGTTTTGCGTCCTCCCTCGTTCGTAAAATCTCCCGAATCATGTTTCCCATATTCTTGGCGGTGAAGTTGCTGGTGCTGTTCAGCAATCGTGTCATAAACTCGTGATTGAGAAGTCGATGCGCAAGAACTACGTTCTCGTTGTCGGTCAGATCGTCGTCCCTCAGCTGATGGTACACGAAAGTTAAGCTGTCGCGAAGACTCGGGAGACACGGTTCGAAAATCTCTGGTTTCAAGACGTGCCACGGTAACGCTGCAGCCAGCACCGTCTAAAAAATAGAATATTTTATATCTCGAAGCTCACGAATTCGCGGTAAAGATTCTTACGAGACAAACGTCCAACGACAGCCAATAAATGACAGCTTCTTGTTCCGTGAAACAACATTCGAAGTCGCCCTCGCCGAATATCGAGGAACTGATTATCGAAATTCTACCGTGTTCCATCCCTTCGTCGTAGTCGTGAACCGAGATCCTCTGATCAAAGTCTTCCAGCGATTGCTTTCCTCTTGTCCATCCGATACTCTCGTCGACTTTGTGCATCAAGCGACGAACGATCCGCTCGATTATCTGAAACGTATCGTTTCAGACGGAATTGCTTTACCACGGGTAAATCTTCTAATTCGTCGTACCCTTTTAGTTTCGCGACGAGAAGCTTCGCGCGACGTTTGCACCCGTCGAGCAACACGTCGTTGCTCGTAGAGTTTCTCCACGTATCTCTCGCCCTCGTCCACGTCGGTGCAGACTCTGGCCCCTAGCGCCAACGCGAGCGCCTTGGCGAACCCTTCGCGAGGATCCTCGTCCTTGCAAAAGGCCAACAGCAACGCGGTGTAATTGACCGTCCGTTGATCGATCATGTACATCCGGCAGAGCAGGTCCTTGGCCAGGATCAACCTCAGCATTTCCTCGGGATTCGAGCAGCAGGTATCCAGGATCGAGATCGAGCTCGCTCTCGCCCTCAGCGACGATCCCCTGCCGTATTCGTCGCGAGAGAAATGATAGAGCTCCTCGTCGTACAGCTCCTCGCGATTCCTTTGGTAATCGTCGCTGAGTAGCTGCCAGACGTCGACGTCCGTCCCGGTGCACTCGAGGAACCATAACGGCGTCCAGAGATACTGAGCGACGGTCACCAGCTCGTTCAAGTCCTGATCCTGGATCCTGAAGCGGTCCCTCGCGAGCAGAATGTCCCGGTGAGATGGCAACGGAAGGTCCAACGCGTACACGACGAATTCCCGCCAGTCGACATAGTCCGCGGACTCGAACAGTCGATCGACGAGACGCGAAACGTCCGTGGATCGTAATCGATACCAGCAGCAGGGCAACGATATCCGTTCGCCCTCCTCCATCCCGTGACTGACCAGGTCCTGAAGCATGTAAACGAACGCTCGCTCGGACATGGTCCCGTGCGGCGCCACTCTTCGAAGCACCTCCATCAATCGTGCCAGCTGACCGACGCGGAATCGCGTGTCCGACGCTACTTCCTTCACGGTCGTACGCTTTTCCGCCGGCAATTCCATCACGAACACGTTCGATCGTATTACGAAACGGTCGTCCTCCAGCAGCATCTCCCTCTCGAGGAATCTGGCCTCCTCGATCGCGAAGCAGAACACGTTCGCCATTTCGTTCACGCTCTTCATTTCGCGCCAGTACCTGCGCGATCGATCGCGAATTACCGAAACCTGTGCACGTTCGCGAATAATGGTAATCGATACTAAAAGGAGAAAATTATTTAAGTGCCGTTAAAGCACGCGAAATTGAAAGCTCTTCTGCCTGAAATGATCTTTTATGTCTCTAAAAATAAACGCGTTATCCAGCTGACCTGCCTTAAATGCTCCGCTCCGTACGTGTCATCGAGCATTCGCTTACTATACTACATACAGGGTGTTGACCCACTCGGTGGCATATATTTTAGGGGCTTATTCTACATCGAGGGTGAAATAATTTCCATCGAGAACTTTTAATTTTTACTTACGAGGGAGGTATTCTGATCGAAAACAAATTGAATTGCATCTTATATAGATTTTAAGCTATTAACCTGTCCACGATGGAATCGTAAAACTGATGGAAAGTCTTGTGCATCGTTTCCAGCAAGAAGACGACATCCGTTCGGGCCGCGGCGGCTATCGCGTCGAGTTTCGCGCGAATTCGATCTATCTCGAACGTCGTGGCATACCGCCATTCCAACAGGACATCCTGTCCTCTGGACGCTGTTCTCACGGCTACGGAATCCGACGAATCGATCGAGAGATCTTTGCTCTTGGACGTTGCGGCTGTCTCTCTCTTGAGGATGTCGTTGGTCCTCGCTGAAACAGCATCCACGATGTTCCTCGCGTAACGAATGTTTTCCATAATGGTCTTGAAAATGCTCGCGTTCTCTCCACCGTCAAAAGGTTTCTTTCTATCTACCAACAAGTCGTAAATCTCTTTTCGCAGGTGAGAATATTCGACCGCGGGCGGAGAAGAGGAAACAGCGATCGATTTTGGAGAACCAGCCTTAGCCTTGGACCGTTTGGTCTCTTTCCGGTCGGTCAGCTTCTCCGCGGGCTTCGAGGATTCCGGTTGTTCCTGAAAGCTCACAGGCTCGTCGTGTCCCACTTGCATTCTGTTAAGAACAACCTTCGAGAAACGCGTCTCTTGCAGCGGTCTCTTCAACGTGGTCAAATAGTAATCTTGTATCAGGTGTATCGTGTCGATGAATCGGTCCAACTCCGCTTGAACGATCCCTACGTAAACGTTGAACAAAATGGTCGCGTCATGTACGATCCACTCTTTGTCGACGAACCGTATCCGTTCCTCTTCCGCCTCCAGTCTCCTCCGGTCGCATATGTCCCACAATTGGGTCTGAAAGTCGGCCACCCGACGGTGCAGCTCGCACTTGACGTCGGCGTCGTGTCTGGCGTCCTCGTCGATGTCGTTGAACATCAAATGAAACTCGTGCAACAGATCCTGCTTGTTGCACGGTCTCTTTATGAACTCTGCCGCGTTCCTCGCGATGCAGTCCTTGTACGGGATCACTCCCGACGCGTGTACGCTCTTCAGGAACAACAGTTCCTTAAGATTTGCCGTGTACATCTTCTCCAAGTCGTCCCAAAGGTTCGCCAGGTACTCGACGAGAGCAAAGGGTAAAGGAACTTCGATCCATTCCCAGTTCGCCTCGCCTGGTCTTGGTTGTCGAGGGTCGAAGTCCATTTGGAAGTCATCGTACTCATCCTCCTGGCTCTGTTCCGTTTCCTCGTCGATATCGGACGGCGGCAATGTGCGTTTGATCACCGGCGCCCTGGAGCCCGTGCTCCTCTCTTTGCTTCGCTCGTGACTCTTTGGAGCGTCCCCGAACAATTCCTCGGACGGTTTTCCTTCCGCGTTCTTCCCGATCACCAGCCGAGCCAACGCCCTTAACGTCGTCGAATCCAAGCTGGTGTAATAGAACAGATAACCGACTCTCTGAAAAGCATAGAACTTGTCGATCGACGGCGCGTCCTCCTTCAATGTTTCGTACGATCGATCCTCCGGCTCGAAGTTCTTCGGCTTCTGCGCGACTCTGACGAACAGCCTGGCGAACGTGGGTGATTGTATGTCCTCGATCCGCTTGATAGGGTCCGGCACGAGCCTCGACTGTCTGTAAAATCAACGCGGGACGTTACGTACGCGATTCAAGAACGATCAGCTTCGTTTTATTTGCCTGTACAACGGGATGGGGTTGATATCGTCCTCGTAGATGATTCTCGGCTCGATGGACTCGACGTCCTCGATGCTGACGTCTTCGAACTCGAGGACCTCGGGGTTCGGGGGTATTTTGGAACCCGTCAGGGCTGCTTCCAACAGAGACATTTGTTCGTACGTGTTTGGATAGTCGATTACGGCCCAACTCTTGACGCCATCGAGACTCTTGAGGTATTCGATCAGAATCTTGGTGGTGAGCTCGTTGGTGATCGGTTCGCCCAGCACGAGATATTCGTAGGCCCACTTACCTACGAGAAACGCGAACGTTCTGTACGAGTCTTCCGTATTAGAAGCACCGAAGAACCTACCAATGTACGCGGAATCGGTCAACGTGGCGTCCAGATCGTCGTAGGGCAAGTTCCTCGGAGTCTGAGTCTGTTTGTCCCGCGTCTTCGACTTCTCCTCCGCTTTCGTGTCCGTCTCGTTGGTCCCTTGACGCTTCAACGACCTGCTTCGACGCGACGACGCGTCTTCCTCGGACTTTAACCGTGCGCTGGACAATCTCCTCAGAGAACCCATTCCACGCTTGCCTCTTTTAAGCTCGTTAACGATCTCGTTGGTCGCCGCGATCACGTTCGCGTCGATCGAGTCCACGTCCAACGTCTCGTTCTTGTACCGTTCCAAGCAATAATTGATAGCGTCCTCCATCCTCACCAATCGAATCTCGTTGCTCTCCAACAACTTTCCAAGCGACTCGTGTACCGTGGGACTCGCTACGCCAACGATGATCGCGGCGTTCTTCGCTTTCGGCAACGATATTCGCGATCTATCGATCCGATCGGAGTGAGCGTAGTTCAGGAGACGATGGACGATGTACCCAAGCACCACGCGACCCAACTCGAACATCTCGAGTTCATCCTCCGCGAGCAACGGCGCGTAAGCGTTCCAAGGCGGATTCGTCAGCACGTAGTCGTCGAAGAGCGCGTCCTGCAACACCTCGGTCTTCTCGATCTTAATCCGCGATACTTCCTCGAGCACGCGTTCCTCGTCCACTTCGACGTCGATATCGATGATACACGTGATGTTCTCGTCGAAGAGCGGTTGACATCGAACGAACATCGTCTTCCATTCGCGCAGTATCGATTCCGGAACGCAGCCGTCGTTCGCCCTTTGATAGTCCTCGATCTTCAGAGCCAGGTTAACCACGTCTTGTACCGTCTCGCGACAAAGTGCCCGGTGCTTCTCCTGCAGCTTTCGTATCTTCTCCTCGTGCAGCCTCCGCCGTAGCTCGCACATCCTCTGACACTCGATCTCCACGTCCCTCTGCCTCTTGCAAGCCAAATCCTTCTCCCGCTCGAAGCTCATACGATACTCTGTCTCGTTCGTCTCCGCAGCCATCTTTTCGAGGATCATCTGGTTCTCCACCATGATGTTCTTCTGGTCGCGCACCTCGCACAACTTCGACACGATCTGCTTCTCGTAGGTAGACTGGTCCAGCACCCGGGAGGCGATCGCCTCGTCGAAAGCTCTCTCTTGTTGTTCCTCCAGTCGTTCCCAAACCCTCGACAGCAACTCCTTCTGCATCTTCGTCTTCACGGCGGCCATGGTCGCCGCGCGTTTCCTGCGACACTTGAGCCAGTCAATGTACGCCTTCGCCATCAGCGGATCCTCCGCGACCGCTTCGAACTCCTTCTCGAATCTCTCGTCGTACTCCATGAATTTGTAGGCTTTAGGACGGTGCCTCCGAGCGAACCGATCCAAATCTTCGCTCTCTTCCTTCAGTCTATCCGGTTCCGATTTCTAGGAGAGGATCGAGGTGGTAGGTTTGTTAAATGGATGGGGCTCGAAGGAGCTTGCGTTGCGTTTGTAGGCGGAAAAATATACAGTATGGTTTTGAATTTAATGGCCTGAGAAAGACTCTTTCACAAGTACTCGATAAATCGGTGGAGAAATTTTTTGGTGGTCCATTACAATCATTTTTGGTGAATAGACATATCCTACGAAATCCTAAGCAGTCTCGAGTTCAAAGCATCATAACTTCTGAACGAGTTGGAGGATTTTAATCTTTCAAGATGCAAACGATGTATAAGAGTAGTTGGGCGGTGGAGTACTTGTGAGAGGGACAGGCCATTTAATCGAAGCCTGTGTATGTCAGGTACTTTGAGTCTATCTTTCGCTAACCTCGTAGATACCTCGACAACGCAATGCTCGACCGGCTGCCCGATCGAATATGGATCACAGATCTCTAGTATCATCTGTTCTTTGTCCCGTTTGAGTTTCGAAAGGATAGCCTGGAATTTGGAACCGTACCAGTCGACGGTCTCCTTTCCCTCGACGAGTTTCCTCGACAAAGGATGCTCCTGGGGTTGATACGGCGGAGGATCCTCGTTGACGGTGGTCACCTCGAATTTCTTCGACGTGGGGACGAACTTTTCTCGTTCCTTTTGCAGCGTGATGAAGTGCAGTCTGTCCTTGGTCTCCAGACACAGGTAGACCTTGTAGAAGAGACGCAAGGACGTGGTACCTTTGCCGCAGGAGATCTCCACGATGCTCTCATCGTCGCAGTCGATGCCCAGAAAGCGTAGCCAGATTCTCAGATGCCTTAAATTTACTCTGCACAGGGCGGGATCGTCCGTGTCGATGATAGTGTCTAACTGATCGCGGGATATCACATCGTAACTGTAGAGAATCTTTGCTAGTAGTCTGCCGTCCTTCGTATAATGGCCGAACACGTCTGGGGATAGATCGACCATAAGTCCCAGCCTCGCTTGCATCCAGGATTGCATGATTTCACCCATGATGATTTTGGTTTTTCGAGAATCTCGGCACCAACTACTCGATCTTTCGTTAGGTTATTTCTTGTCGTCGATTTCACCTGACGTTGCAGCTCGATGAATCGACCTTACGGAAAAACAATTTGCAACTCGAACATAGCCGCTATGATCGACGTTCTATCGTTAGACAATATAGATTCTCGTACGATACGACACATAATCATCCTCAGACTGAAGCTTGAAATTAAACCACAACTTTTACAACTCGTTCGTTTTTGTAAATTATGTCTTACAGATCTAGCGACCCATGCCTTTATTCCGTACGTCTCGATCTGCACTCACCACCACAGGGTCGACCATTGGCTCCAACCGACATGCCTCTGCTGGCTTCTGCTGGCCCCTGCGACCGCTGCTGACCACTCCTGACACTTCCGACGACGTATAACGATTACTATGTGTTACTGCTTGCTCCTGCTGATCTCTACATGCCTCTACATTCCTCTGCTGGCCTCTGCTGACCGCTGCTAACCACCACTCCTGTTACTTCTGACAACGTATAACGACTACTACGGGCTACTGCTTGTTCCTGCTGGTCTCTACATGCCTCTACATGCCCCTACATCCCTCTGCTGACCCCTGCTGACCCCTACTGACCCCTGCTGACCCCTGCTGCCCCCCTGACCTTTATTGCCAACTTCTGCCATGATATATATGTATTAAAACTTTGTATAATGTAAATCTATGACAATAAATGTTATAATTTCAAAGAATTCTATGTCTTCTCGTCATTTTTACCTTTCTTTACCTCTCCAAAGCATTCCCATAGTTATAAGATACGTGCCACCTCTTCCCTTATCATGTCCTCCTAATAACAAAGTCTAAAAATTTTTGCCCCAAAAATTTCTAAGTTCCTCGAAAAAATTTTGGAATTCCTGAAACAATTGGAAAGTCCTGAAACAATTGGAAAGTCCTGAAACAGCTGGAAAAGCCTGAAACAACTTTTGAAATGTCCTGAAACAACTTTGGAAAGTCCTGAAACAGCTGGGAAGCCCTGGAACAACTTTGGAAAGTCCTGAAACAGCTGGAAAGTCCTGAAACAACTTTTCGAAAGTCCTGAAACAACTTTGGAAAGCCCTGAAACAGCTGGAAACCCTGAAACAACTTTGGAAAGTCCTGAAACAGCTGGAAACTCCTGAAACAACTTTGGAAAGCCCTAAAACAGCTGGAAACCCCTGAAACAACTTTTCGAAAGTCCTGAAACCGCTGGAAAAGCCTGAAACGACTTAGGTTTCAGGACTTTTTCGTTGTTTCAGGACTTTCCAGCTGTTTCAGGACTTTCCAAAGTTGTTTCAGGCCTGTCCAGCTGTTTCAGGACTTCAGAAAATTTCCGGGCGCTTTGGAAATGTTCATTTCCTTGAGTTCACTTTGGGATCTTTGGAAATCGGGTTTAGACAGCTTCAAACAGTTTATTTATATTTTTTTTTTTGTTTTTTACGTGGGGAAATCCTCATGGACACCCACAGGCCCTCCCTTCATCCTTTGGGCGGCCAAAGGGTGAAGGGAGAGCCGGTGGGTAGTGCCGGACTCTTACCGGCTAAAACCCCACGGTGACCATTCACAGACGACTGGCGGGGGACTCTAGTGAGCCATCACAGAGTCCCCCATAGTATGAATGCACTGGGAGGAGTACCACCCACCGGAAGAGGCCAGAAAAGGCAAAGCATGGCGGAGGACCTTAGCGAGCCATCACAGTGATCGATTCTGTGATGGCTCAGTAAAGTCCTCCGCCTTGCCTTGCCTTTTCAGGCCTCTCTCGATGGGTGGTACTCCTCCCAGCACATTCACACTCAGCCGTAGGCGCCTGGTCACTGGCGTCAGCGATCCTGGGACATGGGACGAAGCCCAAGTATCCCATGGCCCAGGCTCACTCACATACGTACCGGTGAACGGTACCGAGAAAATGTCACGATGACATTTGTCGTTTCCTGACGATTAGAATGGCGATGACCAGGTCTGCCTTCGACAGATGTAAGCGACGTCAGCGATGCAGGAGCGAGAATGAAAGTACACGCATGGTGTGCGAAAGTGGAATGAGTTCTTGGAGCCACCGATGCGCGGTCTGGTAACACCGACTTTTAGCCGAGTTACTTTTTAAATAGACGATGTATTACAATTTAAAATAGAAAACAGAGATTATTGGGGTGTACGTATCAATGAGATGCATCCTTAGGTACTTTAATAATCTTGAAATCTTTGATATCCAACGATGGACCGTACTCGCGTTTATTTCTAAAGCCGTTGATAACGTTGCGAGTGAAATGGTAACGGGGCTCTAAAGCCCCAGAAAAATGGACCGAGAAAATACATCGAGCGGAAGGTCTACTCGTATACCTCGTCTGTGGTATCAGATCGCGATAATTTAATTTGAGATTCTATATGTAGATGTATATAATAATTGTATTATCGATTGCATCGTGATCAGCGAACAAAACGCCCAGGAATCTATTTCCTCGACAGACTTGGGCGTTCTGTTCGTAGATGGGGATGCAATTTGTTTTATTATAACAATAAGGTAAGTTTATTAAATGGACCGACGTATAGAATCTCAAGTCGACGTATATTACGCATAATGCGATGTGAAACTATTTTCACGCACAACTCTTGCACTCTTTGTTGGATAAATAATTCTAGGCAGCATAGATCTCGTAAGGGTAAGTGTAAAAAGAGTTTCGAACGATGTCCATTACGCCAAAGACTTTCTGTGGCTGAACCACGTGAACCAACAATATAATTTTTCGCGAGAATAGAACGTACTGGTTCGTATCGGGTGCTTATGTCGTTTGCGATCAAGTGAAATCAAAAGTTAAAAAAGCCATGCATAGAAAAAGTGTGTACTCTTTATTCCCTTTATACTCCACTGCACATACACGACGTTACAGGCCTATAGGTACAAGACGGGTAAAGAAAATGGTGGTTTCTCAGCTTTTCTTTTATTCACTTTAAACCAACAGCATCGCTTGAGCATTGGTTCGGATCTGCCAATAAATAACGATAGGATGATCGTTTACGCCTAGAAACGTGGCTTCGAACTTTGATCAAGTCCTTGATTATAAGCGCGCGCGCGCGCGTGCGTGCGACGAAAATCCTTTCGCACGACGTCCCTTTCGAAAACGGGTGAACGTTCGCGGTCGCTCGCGTTTATCGTTCTAAGCGCTAGTGTACGGGAATAAAAAGGGGGGGTCCCTACGGACGAAAAGAAAATCGGAAAATGGCTCGCTACGCTCGAGGATGCCTCGACGCGTCGTTGGTTGTATTCGCAGAAGGCTAGGAAGCTGACGATCCGCCACGAGGACGCTCCTGGACGGTCCGTCTGCTCGAAAGATCCTTTCGTTTTCGTTTCTTAATAACGCCGAGCGTGTCTCGTGCTTCTTACGTGGACGGAACCAATATGGCGAATACGAACGAGCTGCGATGGTCTTTCGTTGCTGGATGAAAAAGTGTTATCAGTCTGTAGATCAGCTTCATTCTGTTTTTAGATGCATAGCTTGATCGCATCGAGCGTCCTTTGGTGTAATTTCGATAATAAAGACCGTATTTTAAGACTTTCGAACGGCCCGCGGGTTGAAAAATTCGTTGTAACAGCAAAGGTACTAGCCACGAACGAAAAGTCTGTACAATAGTGTCCGCGATAACTCGCTATACGTCCGTAAGTGCGTTTGTAGTAAAATATTTGTGAAGAGTGACCGAAAGTTGAGAGAAAATAAGTTAAATAGCCTTGGCGATATAGCGAGGTCGGAAGTTTCTTCGGACATCGAAACGGTATCGGTAAAACAAGCTGATATAATCAGACGGAGGAAAGAGCAGCCGTGGTTAGGACTTTCTAAAGTAATCTTTTTGATATCCGAAGAAGTTTGCTCGTTACATCGCGAAGGATACGTCGATCACGTTGAAAGTAGATCGCCACATTTGTTCCAGCCACGTGACCCCTTTTGGGATGTTGGAAACCTTTCGAGTGTCCGACGAATCGTCCTGTCGACTCGTCGAGTCCCTCGCCGAGGGTCGTAAGGACATCCGTGAACCATCATTAAGAAGATTTAGGAACCCCTTGCTCAGTCTAGACCTAAGATTCGTCCTTGCGCGCGTCCCAGGACGCTCGGACATTTAGCGGTGGTTTTCGACAGGTATGCGGTTTTTGTTCTCGTCCTTAGACGTGGTGACACCCCCATTCTCGCGAACGATCCGCTCTGCTCGGAGCGATACTCCTCGCCGTACCTCTCATTCCGCGTCTCACACTCATCGTTTACTAATAATAATAATAATAATCGCACGGCTCGTCGGATAAGAAATTGCAATGATAATAATAGTAATAATAATTAGCAATAATAAAAATCACTGTTCGTCACCGCTGTCGTGATCCACGTCGTAACCGTATGTATTTATAATATTTATACCGTTTGGTGCGGCGACGCGACGACCGTGTCGTCGTCGTGCCGCCGCGACAATTATAACTACATTACTCGTTCGTGCTCGTTATCCCGCGCAAAACTAAATCGCTCGTGAATCGTCGTCGCAGAAAACAATACGCAATTCAACGTTTCTCGCCGCTTGCCGTTAAACGTACGCGTCGTACGACAATCATCGATCGTTATTGTTTTGCTGTTTAACTGTATGTACAGAAGAGGTATATATAATCGATAATATTAATGCATTAATATTTATAATAATTTACGTGTACGCATCGCGTGACTACAATGGGCACGGTATTCTGTAGGAGTGTGTGTGTGTGTGTGTGTGTGTGTGTGTGTGTGTGTGTGTGTGTGTGTGTGTCTGTGTGTGTTCGTCTCTGCAAACCACGTTCATCTTCGTCGCGTCGATCCCGTGCGTTCCGTCGGTTTAACTCCGCCGCTCCGACAACACTTTCTCTCGTCTCGTTTCGCGCCTCTCTCTCTCTCCTCTCTCTCCGTGTGTGTGTTGCCCGCGGGAGAGATCGACGACAAAAGGATCGCCCTCTAAATGTACAAAATGAATAACTGTCGGGTGTCGCCCCCGGCGGCTCCTCGTCGACGCTGGTCCGGTCGCGTCGCGACGCGGTCGATTGGAATCCAGAGGTCCCGACGATGTGGAAAAACGTTTTATTGCTGATCGGGGGGTGGTTGGTGGGCGTTTTTTCGCGAGCACTCGCGAACGGAGTCTTAGAACAGGAAGGAGAACGCGCGGAAAAGCGTCGACGAGCGGGAGCCGGCGCGGCGCGGCGCGGGCGGTTCGTCCCGGTCTGTCTGGGAAACAATATGGTCGCGGTTGGAGCGAACGGTTTCCGCGATCTGGTCGCTAGGTAACGTTTGTCCACGTGTCTCGTTTCGAGGCGTCGGGCATCTCTAGGGCTACCAAATATCTAATACGAAGGAACGGGCTCGATAACTCCATCTAAAAATCTATATTCTAACGTTTTAATCTACCTCTATTATGCGTCGCGCGTGTATGTGTGTTTACGCGTGTGTCCGTCGCAAGGTTTTCCTGTCACTCGCTCTCTTTCTCTCGTCGCGTGTTACGGCGCGTAGTGTGCATTCGCGAGAAGCTGGCCGGTCGAAGGAACGCGGGTCCGATCGGACCCAAAGTGCCGTCCCGCTGACCAACTTATCGCGTACGACACGATACGCGCCTGTACGTGTGCGTGCGATGCTTCTCCGTGAGCGCGAATCGATGGAAGAAGGAACGATCGGTCCTGGCAAATCCCAAGACCCGTATCCTTCGATCTTTCATCCTCGCGCGCTGGTTTCTTCCTATTTAGTTTGTCTCCTGTCGGTTTCGCTATTCTTTCTCTCCCTCTCACACACACTCTTTCGCTCTCTCTCTGCCACGCTCCCTTGGTTATCTCTCTCGTGTTAAGGACTAAGTGTTTTAAACTAAGACGTCGCTATACGCAAAACTACCTCACCGCTAATATTTAACAACATGGACATTATTATTATTATTTCAAATTTTTCTTACCCCGGCCCCGTCCCCACTGCTCGTCGGAACCGAGTCGCTCAAAATATTTCCTCGCTTTTCTATCCGCCATTTTTTTTGCCGCGCTAAGAAAAAGGATTCGTTCGCTCGTTACACGTCGACTCTATTCTTTCGTTACGATCCTCGATCCCTCGCGCGCCCCTCGGCGTTTCTCTATAATCCGATCTCTCCGTTTCCATCTACCCCTCGTCTGTTATACTCTAAGCTTCAGCGCAATATCGGAAACGCAACGTCGATCGCAAGGCTTTCGCGCGACGTACGACGACCGAATCGTCGATCGTTTAATTATTTTCTCTCCCCTTGGAGAACGCGCAATACGGACACGGAAGCGTCTGTCTGTCACCGCGAGCAAATCGAAGGCCAACGACGAACCGATCGTCTCGCTTCGAAGAGTCTCAAAGGCACGTCACTTTGAAGGTACCCGGTTATTTTATGCTTCGTTTTTTTCCCTTCACGACAGACATCGACACGATTATTATTATTATTATTACTATTTCTCATTAATTTTTAACATAATTAGTAGTGTTAGTAGTATCGTTAGCGTTAGTATTATCGATAGTATTAATATTAACATTAGTATTATCGTTAATTATATTTATTATTATCGTTAGTATTATTTATCATTATTATTATTATTATTATTATTATTATTACAATTTTCCTTTGTCGGCTGTGTTACTTTAGTTCGACTTTGTTCGTACCGGTTGTCTCGATGCACCGATATTGCGCGTTCGAAGGGTGTGTCTCGCCAAAGATCGTTCTCCAGGCGATCCGCGCGGAAATAAGTCGCGTCTCTACCGATTTACTCGCAATTTTTTTTTTTTTATTTTTTTTCATTGTCCGAGGAAAGGGCTCCCACCGATCGTCTCTTCTACGGCTGTGCAACAAACAATCGTTACCGGTGTGTATTCTCGTTAATTCGCTGGCGCTACTAAATCGTTACATCTATTGCTATTGCTATCGTTATTATCGTTAATTGTTACCACGTTATTATTAGTTTTGTTTACGGCTACGATTCGTTCTCGGTCTACGATCAAATAAGAAAACGCGACGCGCGTTTCCCTTGCATTTTCTACAACCGCGGAAAAACGGCACCCGCGACCGCGTTGTCCTCGTGGAGGATCGCGACGCGAGGAAGACGCCGTACGGCCGAAGCCTGGCGATCTCGTTCCCGTTCCACTATAACATATATGTATATCTACGCGTTACAATAAGTATATCACTTCGTCCTCGTATCTCCGAGCGTATACCCAAAAATCTTTAGAAATTCCGACCGCGTCAGGGATCCGCGAACGATCCGCGCGCGTTTCCCGTTGTCTCTCGAAATGATCTTTCTACAGGGCCCGTGTTCGCGTGTCCTCCCGTTACACGCAGAAATAGGAGAATTCGACGAGAAGAAGGAAAGCATTGCTCGCTACCCGATATCCCGGTGTCCCGAAAAGCGTCGGGAAAATTGTGCTTTTGGCTCGAGGAGCTGGACGAAATTACAAAGGAATCACGGTTCACCGAGTCCCTTTTTTGGCGCGTTCGCTGTGCGAATGAAACAGGCTTTGCGCGTACGCGTGGAAAAATAGAGACGTTTTCTTCTTTTCTGCTTTCGCTCGCAATCCGCGTCCAGGCGAGACTCGCTTCGAGTCGGCCGACACGGCTCAACAGACGAGAGAACAGAAATGGTGAACGATCTCGCACGAATTTGTAAAGATTTTTGGCGCGTTTTAGTTTCCTCTTCGCTTCTTCGTCTTATTTTCGTTTGTCGCGACCCTCCACCGCTCGTGTCCGAATCACCCGTGTGCGATACAATTACGCGATTAGCAGTATCACCGTTGCTTTATTATAATTAGTGTTACAAAAAGCTTGATTATTTGGATCGGACTGTAGCAATATATTCACATAACTATCGTCGTGGAAAATAAAAATCAACGTTTACGTTACACAATTCTTCGCTGTTCCTCTCACGATCGTCTATAACACGTTTCGTAGTAAACCGTAATAAATACAATAATTCGTATAATATTAATAATAATAATAATAATAGTAATAATAATAATAGTGATAATAAACAGAATAATAATAATATTAGTAGTAGTAAAGGTAATAGTAGTAGTAGTACTAGTAGTAATAATAATAATAATCACCAATGTAATCGTAGTCGTATTTGTAGTCACTGTCGCTGTCGTCGTCGTCGTGGTCGTGGTCGTGGTCGTGGTCGTGGTCGTGGTCGTGGTCGTGGTCGTCGAAACGAACGTCCTCGGTTCCGATTACTACTGTACAGATATTGCCAGAAAACGTGTCGCTTTGGAATAACGCGCATTCCGTTAAACGCTAAAATGTACGTTCGTTCGGAAATAGACGACGCTCGTGGTTCCTCGTACCGAACATAAAGTCTAAACGTCAAAGAGCGAAGAAACGCCGAAAACGAGTCGCGGTTCCCGCCACACCGAGCTGCGCTCGGTTTTCGCCGATTTATTGCCGTTTGTCCGTCGACAGCGAAATTCCACGAGATACGAAATAGCGTTTCGCGCGTGCGCAATTATACATTATACGTTCTATTTGTCGCGTCGCCATGTGACGAACGCACGATTGCACGAAAAGAACGAGCTTTCGCCTAACAAACTAACTAGCTAAAGACACAATCGACGTCGTAATACTCGAGGATCGATCGCCGCGACATTGCACTGTCCAGTTTCCAAAGAAACGTGTATTCGACCGTTGACCTCACGCCCCGCGACTCTCCTCTCCCTAACGATAATATCCATCATTTTTTTTTTCGTTTCTTTTTTCTTTTTTTTGCACATTTTATCATTATTATTCGTTTTTTTTTTTTTTATTTCTTTGTTCCTCTTTGTCTCCCTCGTCGTTCCCCCCAAATGGGATTTACTCGTGGATTAAACGCGACGTGGTTACCCATCTTACAAAGTTAGCGATAGAAAATATCAGCGGCTGTACGAGCGCGCGAAAACGATTAGACAAAAAAGCACGCGCGCGTCTCGGAGTTTGCGTTATATAAAAATACACAATTGTTCATTGTTAAGACGATTAAACGGCGTCGTCGCGGCAATATCGAAATTCGGACTTCGAAACGGGAACCGGCACACGAGCTTCTCCTATCCGCGACACCCTGTATGTCGGACGCTTACGGAAAATTCACGTAGAAAATTGTAATCTCGATCGACGATAATCGGTTTTGGGGGGGCTTCTCTGCTGCGTTTTGTTCGCGCTCCAACGAGAAGGAAAGCTGCTGCTCGCGGGGGGGTGGTTGACGATGCGCGCTGGAAAAAGAAACCGAAATCGGGGGGAAAAAAGGGAGATCCGCGCGACCTCGGGGAAGAGGAAAAAACGGTTCGAAAGCTGCGCGCGGCGAGATGTTTCCCCGGGCGCGATCGGTCCGCGATCTCGTCCACGTCCTCCGTCGCCGGGTTATTTCGTTTTCTCTTAATCGCGGATTTGTTCCCCAGGTTCCAAGGACGATTACGAAAAATAGATATTGCCGCGTAGGGACGCAAAGGACGCTTCGAGTTCGGGGCGACGCGACGTCTTCGACGAGCTCGCGCATCGATCGCCGGACAAAAATATACCATCGACGCGGGTGGAGAGAGAGAGAGAGAGAGAGAGAGAGAGGGAGGCTTGGGTGTGCGAAATCGGTGACGGGGTTAACGAGAATACGCGCGAATATCGGCCGGTTCGTCCTCCTCGTACACGCCGGACCGTATAAACGAAAGAAAAGCGCCGCGGAACGTTTGTTCAAAAAGTATAATCGCGCGAAGCTTCTCCTTTTCGGGACGTGTCGATCGACGACGCGTCGCGATCGCGATTCTCGTAAAGAGGAGCAAGAAGATCAACAGCGTCCGTCGGTGTGTCTCTGAATCGCGCCTATGCTTTGGTTACGGGAATATATTTCTATTTATATTGTATATTATATATGCATACACGGTATTCTACGCGTCCGTATACATATATATTATAGTTACGTCGCGTGTTCTCGCAGACGCGCGCTCGTTATGCCTCGTACGTCCGCCGCGCGGAACAACCGGTGGTGCTCTCCCTCGATGCCGATTTCTCCTCTTCTCGAAAAAAAAAACCGACGGAGCAGCGTCCCCCTCTGCTCGCTTTTTTTCTTTTTCTTTTTTTTTTACTCACTCGATCTCGCTCTCTTGCATCCTAAACATTCTCTCGCGTACATTTGTCTCGCAATCTTGCCGCCTCTACCTCCGGACGTTCTCCTCCTCGTATCGAGCGAAAAACGAAAGCGTCTTGTTCATCGACGCCGACCGTTTCCTATTTCGTCCTATTCCCTCGCTTTCCCTCTTTACATTTCACGCGATATTTATACGATAGATCGGACAGTCTAGGCGCGTCCTCGGCGAGAAAGCTGGCGAAGACTTGTCCCGTGTCTACCGGGAGGCTGCGCTCTCCGACGTCTGAGCCACCGTCGCGGGGTTGTGGCTCGTCTCGTACTCCATCACCTCCTGGTAGATCAGCTCCTTCCACTGGTCCACCGTGTGCTCCCTCTCGTCCACGCTGTGGTCGTACGGGCCTGGCGCGGGCTGCAATCAAACGTACACGCGTTTAACACACCCTCTTTCAACCCCGAGCATTGCCATTTACTACAAATAAACCCAGGAGTCTTTCAGGATTGGAATATCCAAGTAGCAAGTATACAGTCTTATAACGGTCTATAACGGGTTTGGCCTGGCGTGGGCTTCAATCAAACGTCCACGCGTTTAATACACCCTCTTTCAACCCCTTGCATTGCCATTTACTACAAATAAACCCAGGACTCTTAGTCTTTGAGGATTGGAATATCCAAGTACCAAGTATACAGATTTTGTCTCGCGCTTGCATTTTACAAAGGAAGCAAAACCAAGTTTCATCATCGACGGAAACGACTCTCAATAACTCTCAATACGTATACATACATTAAATCTTCCAACTCTAAAACTAACATCTCTACAGGGCCCCGTATTTTGGCAACTTTCATAACTGCCCCGTAGATACATCGCGAGGGGGAGGAAGAGGAGAAAGGGGCAGCAGAATGACGCAGGTGAGATCGGATTAAGGGGGGCTGGATCGACGACACTTACGGCATTGACTTCGGCCTCGTCGTACCACACGTTTATGTAATTGTGCAGCAAAGCGTCGTCGACGGAGATGCGTCGCTCGGGGTCGATGACGAGCATGCGCGACAATAGATCCCTGGCTTGGCTGGCTGGAAAATAGAAGTAAAAAAAAACGCGGAGAAGGCGATGCGGAACGCAAACACGAGTCCCCGCGGAACGGCATCGCGAACGCGCGGAACGCTGTTTTACCAACAACGGTTTCCGCGACGATCGATACACGTCCGAGGGCCGACGACTCCGTTGACCTACTCACCTTTTAATCTATTGTGTTCCGAAGAATCCGAGGGAAACAGAACGTCCGGGAATAGCCTCTCGAACGGATATCCCGGGTATCGCGGCCTGTTCTCCACGTAATTCCTCACGGTTGGCTGCAGCCGCTGCATAAATTCCGGCGCCGGTGTTCCCAGTTGTTCTGCGAAACCGAGCAGGTCGCTTTATCGCGCGTTTCCCGCGAAACTGGGACGGCGGGAACCGAATCAGCTTCGACTCGAACGGATCGGGGTCCAGGTTAAGGGGACAAACCATTATCGCCGATAGAAATTCCTTTTATCCTCTCTTTTTAACGCTCAACGATCCACTTTCGTGGTTTCGGATGGTTTGCCCCCTCTGGACCATGGTCGCGTGACGTACCGATTATTTTGTTCCACTGGTCGATGTGATCGGTGCCGGGGAACAACACGCCACCTCGAATCATCTCGCCCATGATGCATCCGACCGACCAGATGTCCACGTTCTCCTTGTACCCCATGCCCAGGATCACCTGACCGACAAGAACCTTCAGAAACGCGTTCGCCCGTCGACGCACGAACGTCTAGCTTACCTCCGGTGCTCGATAATACCGCGTCACGACGTACGGTGTCATCATGAACGTCGTTCCCGCGGTCCTCGCCAGCCCGAAGTCGAGGATCTTCAGCGTGCAGTCCGATTTCACGACGATGTTGCTCGGCTTTAGATCCTACGAACGGAACACCGGCTAGGTCAGGATCGAAGGGATCAGGTTTCGCGTGGAGATCGACGATCGTCGACCAACTCACCCTGTGGATGATGCCGGCGGAGTGCAAATGCTTGATGCCGCAGAGCATCTGGTACAGAAGGTAAGACATGCGCTCGTGATCCAGATCCATCTGGATCACCTGACAGAGGTTCGCGTCCATAAGCTCCATCACCAAGTAGACGTCTTGAAACTCGTCCAACGACAGTTGAGGCGTGAACGCGTTCAAAAGACCGATAATCTGACGGAGAAACGATCAAAGTAGAAAGACAAACGCTTCCTCGAGCTCGAGTCGAATCCTCAATCTCGTTGAGACACGACGAATTGGTAGTTGTTACGGCGAGTTGCAAAATTATTGACACAGGTACGCGCGATAAAATGATTTTACAAGTAAAAATAAGTCGGAAAGAACGAGCAACATTGTTTCATAGGAGACGCGCACGATCGAATACGATTTGGCCGGCGCGTCTGACCATTGATCTCTCTTTCTACTTGAGCCCGAGTCCAAGTCGTGCTTCGTTCCACGCACACCCAATAAACTTGCAACGTCGATTTTTTTAGAAAACAAGGGCTGAGGAAAAGGGGGAAGAAAGATCGATCCTGATTACGTCTGCTATCCGCTTTGGAGTTAAACTCTAGAGAGTCGGTATCGAGAACAATCTTTCTTTCCCCGTAAAACAGCGAAGGGAATATCGAAGAAGGTTTGCAAGAAGACTCACGTTTTTGTGGTTGACCAGCTTCATGAGTTTAAACTCCCTGTAGGCCCTTTTCGCGTGCGTGACGTTTTGAAAAGGTCTGGAGAGCTTCTTGATCGCCACATTTTGCGCGGTGACCGTGTCGTACGCCGCGCTGCAACACACACACGCACACGGTTTTCGAGATCGATCGAACGAGCATCGGCACGGTCCAGTTTTCCAGCGTTCTAATTGCGATTACGTAAAAGGTACCGTCGGAAGGGTACGTTTTTATCGAAAGGCGTCGCGTTTTAACCGCGGAATCCATGAATAATTCTACGCGCGAAATAAAAGCCCCACCATCGACGTACTTTTTCTAACGGCGAAACTTAAATTGCGTTCCTCGGTGGTCCCCGGGTCCCGGGTATCGGATTTAAGGATTCTCGCGAGGTTACAAGATGCAAATACGCCGAATAATCGAATTTAAACCAGATCGACGAGATACGAAACCCGAAATCCGATTCTCCCTCTCGAGACGCCATCTTGCTTTGACACGGTGCGGCGTTCTCTGCCTCGAACCGGGCTCCATCGTTATTGAAAATCGCTATCAGTTTTTCGTTTCGTCGACTACGAGGCCTCGATATCGCCAGGAAACGCGCTCGTCGAAAGGACAAAGGACGGGGGTCGCTCGAGCGGCTCCCTTTTGACCGACTCGTACTACTGGCTACAGTATTCGACAGTTTCCGCACTCGTTTAGCCTCCGCTTGTCCCAAACCAGTGTTCCTCAACATATTTTTATTAGAAACGTATAGAGAAATATGCTATATAAATTCTAGAGCTCACGTGGCACCGGGTACTTTTATCTAACAGAATAGTCGCGTTGAGAAGCACTGATCTAAAAGTGCCTACTTTCCACGCCAATTGATTGGTTGGCGATCGACGGTGCCAAGTGCTTCGCAAAATTTTAGCTCACGATTCGTTCTCCACCCCGGCGCCTAATTTAACCCCCAACGATGAATAAAAGGTGTCTTCGTACCGTGGAAAATTTACCAAAGAATACTTTTTATAGTTCCAAGGAGTGTCGTAGCTGACTCGATCGACTTACCAGACGATTCCTTGGGCACCCGAGCCGATGGGCTTCAGGTTCTGGTACCGCTTGAGAATGGTGAATCTGGTGTCCCCGACTTCGACCGTGTAGAACATGGCGAACAGCCGGGTTGTCATATCAGGCCCCAGGTAAGGCATACGCCTCGGTTCCCGTCTCTCCTGCTGCACCTGTACGTGCACCTCCCCCCCGGTCGAGCACTCCTGGTGCACGCGACGAGGACTTACGCTCTTAGCCACTTTGGATGCGAGATCGAGAGTGTCCGTACGGAATAAAATCGACGCTCAACCCTCTTCCCTTCTCCTTTGAGAGCCACGAGCTCGGGCCCGCTGGCGTCTCGGCGCCGCCGCTGCTCAGTTCTCACGCGCGCCGGATTCGTCTGCGACAAATTTAAAAACATTTGCAATCGTTCGATGGGTTCGCAACGAACCTCTTTCGATTCATTTTTACTATTTTATCAGATAGCTCTTTGGGTCACGGTTGTTTGGGGTTTCAATTTCCTATCGAATCAACGTAGATCAAAGAGTCGATGGGAGGACGTTGTAAAACCCATGCTCGTCCCATTGAGCGAGGAGGGTTTGGCGTCGGTTCAGATTCGCGAGGCGTAAGTAAAAATGGAACTGCGAAATAACGCGGGATCGCGCGCCAAGACGAAACGCGCACCGGAAGTGGCGGAACGTCGAAGGCTGCCTCGTGGGAGCGGAGGCAGTCAAGGTCGCGCGACCTTCTCCCCTCGCGTTTTGTCTTACCAGCAGCCCTCGGGATCAACGGCTCATTACGGCGGACGAAAACGCGACGGGACCATAAAGACGTTCAATGGGACGCGAGATGGGAGCCGGCCCCCAGAGGACGCCCGAAACTCAACGTACCCCGGGCTTCTTCCTCTTCAACGACGGACGGAAAATCGATGTTCGGGAAATCCAACGCCGCTCCACGCAACTCCCATGGCGGATGAAACTCCGCGCCCCATTCTCCACCCGAAACTACCACGGGATTCTCGCACAACAGGACGGAATTGAATTTTCAAAATTCTATGCATTATTTATTAATTCTCGAACCAGTTTTTGAAATCTGATCAAGATTTCTTGCCGTGGACCTTTTGGAAGAACGTTTCGACCAAGTAAAAACCTAGGTCGCGGAAGCTCGAATAGTCTGGAGGGTGGAAGGAGCGCGAAATGCCAGTTTGGAGGTGCCTCGATAAGTTCGCGAGGTTTCCGTGAGATGAAAAGTTGTCGAGTTGCGACAATCGGGCAAAAGTATCAAAAGGCAACGGTAAATCGTCGAAAATGTCTGGGTCGAATAGAGAGAAAAAGTTTGGAAGGGGAAGCAAAAGGCGATCCCGTGCAAGTCTCTGGTTTGCGTCGGATAATATGGGTCATTCCGGCTCTCTCCGTTCAAAGAACGCAACTATAGAAGAGCCACCGGTATCGTCTCCAACTTGCAGCTTCCTTCTTCTCTTATCTCCGTTCGATTTCCCGTTCCCAGCGTATTTCTATCCTGCTCTTTCACGATTACTTAAATTGCGATATACTTCTCGTTTCTTTTAACGATCGAACTTCATCTTCGCGTATACGATCTTCTGTTGGAAACGAAACTGTAATTCTAAATTTGACGCGAAGATTGGTTTCTCCGCGAATAAACCGGCGGGAGCGACGACGAATCTACGTGTTCCAGTTCCGGGGGGGGGGGGTCCGTTGGTCGGCGAACTCGAGCTTGGGAACGGCGGGAACGCGCGATCGGTCGTCGTCGAATGGCGAGCGGATCCTCCAAAGTTTCGGCATCTCGGTTAAGAATAGAAATTGGAGCAAAGTCGGGCAGACGTTCTCGGCCGCGGAAGAAAAAGAACGGGTCCGTCGTCTGGCCAGAATTAGAGAAGGAGGAGACACGCGGGAATACTTGGACGGGAGCGTGCCGTGTACGCGTCGAAACACGCCAATTTCTCCTGCTACCTGGAATCGGGATTCCCTCGATTATTTATAGCGAACATCCCAGACGTTGCTGGCGCGATCGCGACGCTCTTCCTGCTGCTCGCGTCTGCTTCGTTCAACCACCTTCCACTTCTCTCGCGTTCCGCGAGACATTCTGCCCGCCACCTGCTACCAATTGCGCAACTTGCTCGCCTCCAGCCAAAATTCGCGCCAAATGGGTCCTCTCCAGACCGCCCTGACTTTTGCTGGAACGCCTACCGCGACCACGTTCGCGTCGAAACTTTGAATTCTGAGAGTTCCGACCAATTAAACGCTAAAATGATCGACCAGTCGTGGCCACGATAGACTATTAAAGTTATCGATTATCCATTATTCGAATTAAATTTTGTCCATCTCTGCGATACAGCACCGACGACCGCAAAGCGTTGACCCGCGAATCTCCTTATATTCTCGAGTTTACGAGTGAAACTTTTACGCGTCTATTTTTCCGACCTGTTTTCTTTGAAACAATCTCCCCGACGAGCCTGCAAATCCATTTATCACAGGATCACGACCAACTTCCGAGAAGAGATCAGTTCATAAGCGCACCGAATCACTCGGAATACTCTGTCAAAACGCAGTTCGGTTCCAACAATAACAGATGTTATTAATTGTTACGCGGACATCTGCACCTCGAAATTATCGCTCGTTTAAAAATTACAAAGGCTTGCGTAACGAGCTCTACCGTCCAGAATCTTTGGGGGGCTAATGGATCGCACCGAGTCGGAGACCCGTGGAATACTCGGTGTTCTTTAAATTCTATCGTAGTGGAAATTTTCATCTCGTTCGTAACTCGATACGAATAATTATTGAGCAGCGTGCGATCGGGTTGGCGCGGTTTGTGGGACGTTGGTCGACGAGGAATACGTTAACGCGACAATACGTTAGAGCGCGAGCCGCGTTAATAGGAGCTTAACACCCCAGTAATTTAGCCAGTCTCGCGCGACATCAGGGAAGTCGACGAAAGCGAGCTATCCTAGAAAACGACGAGGACGGGTCCCGGGTGCTCCGACTTTTCCTGCCCTTGTCGCTCCAAGACGCCACACCGGATCCAACATTCCTCCGTCCGGTTGGACCATCTCCAACGCTCACGCGCTCGCTGACCACCGCGTCGTCGACCGGGTCGCGCGCGCCCGAGGAAATTCGTTAGGCCGTTCTCGCGCGGGCATAATTCACGGGATAAGAAGGATTTAAGAGAGTTCAGATTCAAGCCGGGGAAGACGCATAGCCGGGGATCTCGCCGCGACAGGTATGATTTAGGGATCGCGTTTCTGGCGAAGAAAGTATCGCGCTGTATATCGTCCGAGGGATTTCAATCTAGATCCCCCGGAGATTGTCTCGCGCGCGATTTTTCGACGGTCCGTTCACCGATGGGGATTTCAAGCGCTCGGAATATGGCGGTAAAATCAATTCTAATAAACTGCGATAAACTGCTCCCGAATCTATCGAGACGATCTCTCAGAGTTCTTTCGAGAGTTCTGAGACTACTCACCATAAACGAGTGGCCATTGCGAACGTTCCACCGTCTGCTAGACCCGGAGTGTAAGGGTATCTGCAAACAAAGAAACACGGATGTGAATTTTATGGGACGAGATCCGATGGAAAGGGTCACTCATGGGAAAGTCGGGCAACTTTTAGAACGGAGGACGCTTCCCCGAGACCAAAGTCCAAATTACCGCACCGGAGAAGGTTAATCGAGCGTGACACGGTAGTCGGAGGGAATCCGGATTCGTTAACGGACTCGTTAACGCGATTTCGCGCGGCGTCCCTCCGCGATGAAGTCCTCCCGCGTCGCGGTTCGCGAAAACGACGCGTTCCGGTGGTGGTCGGGCAGGAATGCGCCTGAAAACAACACCGCCGACCGGCAGACCAGACGTCTCGCTGCTAATTCGAATATATATGCGTCTAAAATTAATATAAATTAGCGTGCCGGGGCGGACGCGCTCCGCCGCGGAATGCGAGCGTCGTTTGCGTAAATTGAGACAAGTTGCCGGGAGCGTCCACCCCGTGCGATCGGTATGCCCAAAATTCTCGGCCGTTTTACGCACAATTTCGTCGCGTCCATTCCGAACTCTCAAAATAAACGAAATATCCGCGTGCCTGCGACGGGCCAAACCGTACGCGTTTACGGTGGAAAATTCTTACGACGATCCTCCGGGTTGCATCATTTTTGTTTCGTAACGCGACATCCACTACCCTTTAGAGGTCAGGACTCCCTCCGTCTCTGCAGAGGGTGACTCTTCTCGACTATATCGTCCCGATGGAAATTCTTGCGCGAGTATAGAACGCGCTGGAGGGAGGGTATAGAGCGGATCGATAGCGTGAAATATGATCGGGTCGGCGCGGGTGCGCTAATAGCCGTGAAAAACACTGCCCATCCGTCGACTTTTCCACGCGTCTAGATTCGCCCGACGGATCAACGTCCGAGGCAAAACACGATTCGCCGTTTTTCGAGCCTCAAGACGATTCGTCCCGCGGAACCACGCCAAACCGGAGCCACGGAAAGCTCCGGAGAGCCTTTGATCTGGCAATTAGCTTTGCCGGGGAACGTCCGGGTCCCTTCGGGTCTATCCGCCCCCCTCTGCTGACTCCTCACCCTCGGGGAACCAGAACAGTCGCGTCGGCAGATACTTAGCCTCGCGAGCAGATCAAAATTTTCTGCAATTTTCACGGCTCGCGTCTCCCATCAGCAGCCTAGTCCTCGCTCAAACTACGACTCTATTTTGAACGCTGGATAGGAATTACGAGACGCTTTAACTAACAACCGACGCTTTGACGGCCACTGTTGATAAAAAGAATAAATGAAATCGTAGGAGAAGCGTGCTTAAACCGAGAGAAGAGCTTCTCTTTTTCATCGAAATTAAATCGATAAGCAGCTACTTTGGATCCGGAGGATCCCACGGCTCGATCGAACGATGGAGGCGGCGGAAACGGGGAACCAAGTCCACGAGGTAATTTCGATTAGTTTTAATCTCCTTGCCTCTTCGGATAGACGACAAGCGATTCCGAGAAAAAAGTCTCTAAAGTGCCGTAGAGAACGGGAACGATATCCAGCTGTCGTTTCTTTCCATGGACCGAAGACACCTGCTCCCGGTCCCAGCGAACGATAAATCCTCGACAATGGTCGCGGCCAACTCGCAAAAGGGACGAATAACGCAGTTCCCGTGTATCCGGTCACGGTTCCGTTCGTAACATTCTATTCTCGAATTCTATCGGCTTGGAATACAATTTTTTACAATTTATACACGTATTTGGGGCAATTTCATAATTCCATAACGAGTCTTGCGAGCCTCCAAAGAACTTTAGGTTTAGTACGATGGAACTCCCACGCTTCTATAAGGGTGGAAGATGACATTCTTGCTCCTAATAGACGACCAGGCATTGACCAATAAGAAATTAGTTAATAGCCCAGACTTTATGGGTCTGTATGGCGATTATTGGGGCGCAAGAAGGAACTCGGAATTTTTTATTAATCCCTCGATACGAAGAGTCTGTTGGACGATGCAGGAATTGTTTACCGATATATCTAAATCCCCCAACAGCCGCCAAGTCACGTTCATACCATAAATATAACTGTTGGAACGCCTTGTGTCATCGAAAGCCATCTATTGGAAACTGCTGGGAAGGTTCCACCCCTATATTTAAATCCCACGGACGTAACCAATGAACTATTCCGTCGTTACGACACAAGGGTTGAACAAGTTGAGGCCGAGCCGGGGAAAAACGTGGGGCAAATTGCCGCGGGAAAATTTAGTTTCGGGTCAACAAAGGCTCGCAATCAAGAGTATCGCGTTACCGCTAATGGCGGCTTAATTCCACCGGCCGCTCGGTGTGTTCGTTTGTTGCCGAGGTAACCGCTGAAACCGTAATTTCGTCAAGACTTTTCTCAAGAAAATGTACTTTGCTCGACGTTTTTCCGCGACAATACCGTTTCCCCAGTCTATCGTCCATCCAGAGGGACTTAACGGACTTTACTCAATTGGCATCGTAAAACTACCAACGATGTCGCATCGTTATTATACTTCGCTCACTGATCTTGCGTCCAACAACGCGTATTAAAAATAGTTGAACTTTAGACGCGTGCAGTTCCGAAACTACTAGTGTTTTATTAATTATTAAGGCATTGTTAGCGGCGGCAAAGCTTCCCCTTTAAAGTGGTTTTTGGTTTTTGTCGATCGGACTTTCCGTTTTCGAGATATCGTAATTTATGTAAAAGGTAATTTTTCCAATTCGACTCTCTCACTGTCCGGCGCGCGTATAATAGCCTATTAACGCGTATTAAAAATAGTTAAAATTTAGATGCGTGCAGCTCCGAAAGTATTAGTGTTTTATTAATTATTAAGGTATTGTTAGAAGCGGCAAAGCCTCCCCTTTAAAACAGCTTTTGAATTTTGTCGATCGGACTTTCCGTTTTCGAGATATCGTAATTTATGTAAAAGGTAATTTTTCTAATTTCGACTATCGCTGTCTTCGTCTAGCGCGTCGCGCCGGACCTCCTTGTCGCACGTTGACCCACTGACCGAGTGACCGAGTGACGTCACGTTTACTATTTACTACGGTCACGTGAGTTCATTCATCTCGCGATGTAAACAAACGTAAACAGACCCTTCGGACTCACGCGATCGACTTGAAATTAAAATCGCCATATCTCCGGAACTAATAAAGCTATCGACTCGCACAAACGCTCATTTTAAAGGGCATTTCATCCGCTATCCAATGACTATACCAGCTACTATAATTTTTGCTATCTTCCATGTTTATTTTTACATTTACTTTAACATTACATAACTACAGAAGTTTCAATACTTCCAATTGATTATACGATTGATGTGGGATAAAACGAGACTATAAATTGTTTATTCAATTGAAAATAAATTTAAATACAGGATGTTTGCGTAATTACTAGCCAGTACTTTATCCTCTAAAACTAACTATGATATCGACTTGGAAGAAAATTCGTTTTCAAGGGCGTTTTATTCTGCTCGCTCGGAATATTACTGGGGATCGCTTTAGGCCTTCTACCGTGGTAGAACTGTGACCCGATTCACACCAATTGCCGGACAGTCGTCTCGCTTAACTACTTCACCGGGAGGACCTTGGTCTGCTCAATTGCGAGCTCATCAACAATCTACTTTACCGTTCCATACGCTACTTCTTCTGCTTCTACGTACTATTCAGCCTCTGTAATTTTTCTCCCGTCTGCATCGTTCTAATTCCAGTAGACTTACTAGCGCGTTTATTTACTTGTACTCGATTTATCTTCTCACTTATTCTACTACTATTTTAACTGTATCCCTTTCGATATACCCCCGATACCTTTGCTACGGTTTAACGCTCGTTATTCTATTCTTCCTCCCATAATTTCTCCCTTTCTCTTCCCATCGCGTACTCGGGAGCATCAGGACCTCTTACTTTTAAGTTAGCCTCGTAAATTTACAGTTTATAAGTTTCCTTTTGTCGTAACTCCGTTCGTTATGGCGCGGTAAAGCCGTTGAATAAAATAAATGATTGCGACTCTCGCGGAGCTACAAGCTTAGGGGCTGCAAAATGGAGATCTGTACGCGTACCATCGCGTGGGACGATTTGCAACAAACTATGCTAACGAATCGGAAGCGGAAGTCTGCACGGACACCGTCGCGATTTAGCTTGGACGGAAACGAGAGCCCGGATAATCGGCCAACGCAGTTTCCACGAGGACAGAACGGGGGAGGGTGTACTCGCGAAAATCACGACGTTCGCCATTTTTTCGAGTCAAAGAGAAGAGGAGGTCGGTCGACGGTCGGCCTGTGGAACAGACGCCGCGAACGTCGATTCGGATATTAAATTTCCTCGCCACCGGCGAAGCAAGACGTATTTCCCAGAGGACGAGGATCTGCTTTCCGGCAGAATGCGCCTGCATTCTCGCTCGCCGTTTCCCCTCTTACGATACTCCTCTGTTTCCTCTTAACGCGGTCGAGTAATTGCACCGACTCCTACGATCACCGTCGTTTAATTATTTCTTTTTCGGAACACCACCGCTGTTCGAATTCATTTCCATAATTACACGGTCCTTTATATCATTTATCAGAATTGGGTGAAAAAGCAGTACACTTTGTAAGCAAAAATGAAACTTTATTCTGTGGTTTGGAAGGACGTCTTTACCCTGTTAAAACTGAACAAGAAGTGAAGCGACGCTCAGATCCCCTAAAAGAAAATCTGGCGTCCACTTAAAAAGGAAAGAACTCTGGCCCTCGACGACAAAACAGACACAGGCCCCTAGGCCCCATGGTGCCAATACGGTCTTCGTATGCAGACAATGGACAGTGTTTCTCACAGTTGGATTCAGTTTTGTAACGATTATTTATTAATAATCCAAAACCATTTATAAAAATTGCGGACTAACGCGTCGAAAGTCTGGGAGACTCGACTTTTATCGCAACGAGTTCCCGAAACAATACCGTGCAAACGTCTGCCGAGTTTCGTAAAGTAAACCCGTTCGGGGAGGGGGGAAGGTCGAGTCGAGGGATGGAAAAACGTAGGGCGAGGAAAAAGTCATTAAGCGTCGATCGGTGC